GGTCCCCAACAGGGGCAGCCCCGAACTCTTCCAGTTTCCAATGGGGAAAAATCACACCCGCAATAGCAAGTACTATTATGAAATCTCACAACTTGACAGCACAGTCGACAGTCCCGTCCCCATGGAAGATTGGAGCTCAACTTACACTTGATTTTCTCGAACAAACAGACGACACACACACACACTTGAGGCTGATGCGGCACCCGCGGCTGTGGCAGTGCAGTCCTCTCGCCAGGAAAATCAAAGCAACACTGCAGCGTAGCGGGCACAGCGGCACAGCGGCACCTTGGCGCAGCCCAGACCGATGCCTCTGCCTCTGCCTGTGGCTCTGCCTGTGGCTCTGCCTCTGCCGACGTTCGAGGCCTGGCTGTGGTTGTCCACCCCTAGAGGAGGGGCTCGAGTGCACTCTCAGTGGTTTTGAATTAATGAAAATACTTTTGCCCATCAAGTGGCTGTGGCTGTGGCCGGGTGCTGCAGTGCGTCAAAGCCGGTCAATTGTCGGGCCTGGTCTAATGGCTGGCAAACGGCAAGACACAAAAGTTCAATTCATTTGGCACATCGTTCGCTTATCGTTCATTGTTTCAATGGAAATGTTTGTTTGTTGTCTGGCTAATTGAATGCCAAGAAAGTATCTTTTTCTGGCTGTCCTGTCTTTAATCTAATGCCAAGCACTGATAGTGTCGCAGTATCGTACGATACTCGCTTATGGATTAGCCTAACAAATTGATTTTATGGAAATTCCGTTAATTAATTGCATGCAGATATGGTACAAAGGGCAGTCAGACTCTGTCTTATCTAGGTAGAACTTTCCTTTCCTTTCCTTTCCTCCACACATCGCGCACATTTCGCGCTTAAGTATTTGCCTCCTCACCCAATTGAGGGGGTTGTGAACTCCTTTGATTGACAGCACTTGGTATGCCCGATGCGGTGTATAAAATGCAAATGCACAGATAAACTCACTCAAGTGCTCGTCCCATTGTTATGCGAGCCGCGGGAGGCGAGGAGGCGGTGCCGGAGGGGCACTAGTACACAATGGAACCTCCTCTCTCTCTAGTATACGCTCGGGTATGCAGATGGGAAATTGAATTGTGCCTGAACTGTATGCAAGTGTGCGGTGGGTAGCTGTGGCCCAGGCTGCTACGCCTGGGCGTCTTATCTAATTTCAATCGACAAGAAGCGCAAATTTCATTGTGCAACATACTCGTATTGTGTCCACAAGCCGCAAGCATCGCTGGCATTTGACCATGTCTTTGTCATGCTTGTGCGCCAATCCAAGTGTGTCTGTCGATTGGCCAACAGGGCGTATGCACAAGCCGAACTCTGGCCCAGCTGCACGGGAAGAGGGGGGATGACTCATGCGCCGCGTGGACTTTGTCCAGTCGTCGTTCGCTTTTATCGCAAATCCCAAATGCATTCGCAGCCGTTTATCAGTGAACGTTGCACATCCAAAGCACAGACATCCCAAAAGGGTTTCCGTAATATCTGTCTTTGTAGCTGTTTATCGTTTATCGTTTATCGTTTATCGCTTACCGTTGAGCGTCTGCTGTCTTGTGGTGCTAAAACAGTCGCGCATTTGTTAGCTGGAAATTGGCTACTATTCAGCATTTTTGATCGAGCTGCGTTGGCGGCCAGCCAGCCAGCCAGCCAGCCAGCCAGCACGGTGGAGCAGGTCTCTGCCGCCTGTCCAGTCCCAGCATAGAGGCCGACACCACACGCAGGGGGGGCTCTCGGAATCGGAATGCTAATTAAAGTGTCGCATGCTGCAGCCACGTGAAATGTAAGCGGCAATGCGATGTGAGATTGCACGGTCGAATAGAGCAGTAATTCACCTGTTTGTCCTCGCTATTGTTGGGCAAAGTGTGCAATAAACTGGAACAAACATCACAATACAATCACATCAGGGAACATCACAATACAAATCTGACGACACAAGTTTGCCTATCCCAGCACACACTTAAATACGGATACATACGCGTATCTATGTACTACAGGCCATTTTCCCATCACGTCTGCCCTGTTTCGATTGATTACCCCAGACCAATGGCAGACATGTGTATTCTTCAGGTTCAAGAACTAAATTCACCGATTAGATAGGCATTTAGATTTTGTTCTACTGAATATACTTGAAAAAGAAACAAAAAAAAGTTTAAAACAAAAATAAAGAAAAAGTTAAAACCATAAAATTACCTAAAAAAAAAAAAACATCTGTCGTATGCACGAAAAAGGTCAGAAGCAAGGAAAGTGCGCCATTAAACGATAATTTATTTCAGCCAGCCCATTTATGGGTGGACTGGCAGATAAGCAATGCACTATCAGAAGGTCGTTCCCTGAGTAGGTCAAAAGTAGATGCACTCTTCCGGACAATGAATGACGGGGAAGGGCGCCTATCATTCCGACTGATTGTGACCCATAAATCACAGAAATATCCCAGATATCAGCCTTAATTGTTTGTTTCGTATGTGGAAATTGCTGATAAACAACTTTAAGTATCCGCTCCACTGTTTGTTTGAACTCAACAAGCAGTCAACTATTTTTGTAAACAAAGAATATCCCCCACCACACGGCAACCGACAACAGCAACAGCAACAGCAACAACAACAACAACATCATTAACATCACACTCAGTTTGGAGAATACAATTTCCATATACTTAAGTTGTCGGACAAGAAGTTCGAAAACAAGTTATGCGCAGAGCGAGTGGAAATTAATTTGGATTATGTATATTCTGTGTCTGCAAGGCATAGATCAGGCCATACGGTGACTACGTAAGGTTCTGGGGGCCTGCTGCTGCCATGAGGAACTGGGCACCACAACACAGCCCTGACCAACAACAATAAGAATAGCCTTGAAGGAGCAGCGGCATCCACACAGGTTGCTGTTGCTGTTGCTGTTGCTGTTGCCGTTGCCGTTGCTGTTGCTGGCTGATTATATAATTAGTCTTTTTGCTGGTGGTGTAGTGCTAATGGCAACAGATTCTCCGTGTTAATTGGAATGTTTTCCCAGATGGGTGGCAGATTAATTACCAACCGGAATGCACTCGGGGAATGCGAAGCATGGACAGGAGTGTGGGCAGCAATGATTACAAGATTGCTTATAATCCATCAAAAACTGTCCCCGGGCAACCTTTGGACTGCCAGGGAAAACATGCAACGAAAACACGAAACGTACGAACAGAAGCATAGCAAACAGATGAGCTTCCTCCACATTTCCCCCACTAGCTTTTCCAGTCTTGCTTCTCCATAGCTTTTACGTAGTTGTCTCTCTCTCTCTCTCTCTCTCTCTCTCTGTAAAACCGGCAAAACGGTCAGAGAGCCGCAGCAGCACCACCAGCAGCATTTACTCTAAAGTTTCATCCAAAGAGAGTGAGCGAAACGAAAAGCTGTTGTCGTGGTTTCATGGTGTTGTTATTGCGAGGCGTAACGAAACCGAAACCAAAACAACACGTGCAAGGTGGGAAGAGGGGATTGGCGTGGCGCAGGGTGGAGTTGGAAGTTGACTCTGGTCGTGGACGCTTAAACCGCCTTAACCTTCAGCACGCGTGCTAAGCACAGGTAAAAGGCCACCAAAAGGCGAGGGAAATGAAATGGCGAATGGAATGGAATACATATTTGTGGCTGGCCGAGAAGGAGGCCTCATCATTTTTGAACTTAACAGGAACGTGTTTGGTGTTCGTGATTCTGCCCCACACTCGTACACAATGTGGGGCAGTTGAATAGGACGCGGGAGTGGCTTGGCGTGGCTGTCCGCCCCGTTTATAGACATCATCAGCATTGCCTGCCGGTCTCTCTGATGATTCCCATTGTGTCGAGGCAACCCCTAACCAATTGTCGCGAGATTTCGCGTCGCAAATGGCGCGTGTGTGTGGCCCACTAACAAGTATTAATTGAATTATTCAGAACTTGTCATCGGATTGGACAAATTAAGAAAGAGCTCGCACACCTGCTTGCCTCATTATTATCGTTTAATTTTTAATCGGATCCCAAGCGACTAGGCAACTGTTTTTCGAGTAATTAATACTAATTTTGGATGGATTTTTTTCGAGGAGGGTGGGGGGGTAAGCTTCTGCAGATGTTGTTCTCTTCTGTTTCTTGTTGCTGGGACACATGGGGGATGGAAATATGGGCTGATGCTGCCGCTGCCCCATGGCGGGGATTTTTGTCGAAAGTTCTTTAAGTGTTTTTCACAGCGTTCGTTCTCAGACCATATCTTAATAGGCAGATAGCCATATTATATATATACACATACACACTAAGATCCAACAAAGCACGCTGGCACACATACACACAGTCACGGTTCAACTTACACATCAGAGAGACACTAAAAGCCACACGAACAAAGCTTCAACGCGCGCGGGCTTTTCAAAGGGGGGAGAGAGAGAGGAAAAAATCGCGGCCCGCAGCGCTTGGTCGCTCGGAAGCAACTATTCCGTCGTTACAGCAACACAGCAAGCAATTCTCCACCGACACAGTTATCTGTGTGTCAACAAAAAAGTTTTGCTTCGCAGCTGTTCGCGTCGCTAAGCTTTTCGCACGGGTTAAATTTATATAGATATAGAGAGCTAGAGAGAGAGAAAGAGACAAAGACAGAGAGAGAGAGAGAGGAAAAGAACTTCTGTCTGACATTACAGAAAGCTTACTGAGAGAGCTTTGCTGGCTGGGGCTGCCAACTTAGTAAGAACCAGACATTACAGAAAATACAAAGACCAACCGTTACAAAGAGAGCATCAGCTGCAGGCACTTCCAACTTATGGGACTGCCACCCGCTCTTTATTTTCAATTCAAATGGAGATACAGTTGATTTAGCAAACATATGAACATATCAAAATATATGTATGCTCTCCGACAAATTTTCGACCGCCCTTCAGATGGGGTCATACAAAATATTTGCGCACCTGGAGCGGGGCGCTTCAGCCCCATCAATGGGGGGCTGCCACACAAAAAATTGTTTCCCTAACGCTGGGACGTTAGTTCCAAAAAATATCATTGCTCAATGCTCAAACCTCACGATGAGGACGAGGATGAGGAGGAGGAGCTCTCCGAGCTGCTTTCCGAGGAGCTGCTGTCGCTGCTACTGCCGCCCCGCTGCTTGCGCCTTCGGGCCTTCGCCTTCTTCTCGTCGATCACCTCGTAGCTGGGCAGCGTCGAGTTGCTCGAGTCGGAGCTGCTGCTGCTGCTCGAGCTGTTCGACTCTTCAATGACTTCGATCTTGCGGGTTTTCCTGTGGCGGAGTTCCGGCAAATGAATGAATCGATCAATGTGCGGCAGAACAGTTATTACCTACTTCTTATCGTTTTTTTCGGCGTTCTTGGCGCGCTTCTGCTTCTTGGCGTTGGCCAGGTCGCAGTCGCTGGGGGAGCTGCTGCAGATGCGCTTCGACTTTTTGCCTTTTTTGTCCTTGCGTCGCGGATCCTTCTCGGTGCCGCTGGCCTTCGTGGAATACAGATTCTGTGAGCTGGCCGTGGAGTATCCCGTGTCCTTGTGTTTTCGCTTCTTCCTGGGGTTGGGGTCTTTAATACTTTCCTTGGGGAATATAAGTATATTTTTTGCCACTTACTTGTCCTTTTTGTCCTTTTTCTTTTTGCTGTAGCTGGCCTCCTGTATGGCATAGTCTTTGTCTTTGGCCCTGCTTGGAAAGAAAGTGTTTTTTAGAGCCTGAAGATTGTGCCCTTCCCTTGGGGCATGCTCACTTTTTGATTTTCTTTTTAACATCGCCGCCACGCTCATTGGATATCATGTAGATGCTGTTCTGGTCTGCGTCCTGGACTCGACGACGCGACTGGAACTGGCGCGACTTGGCCATCCGACTCTCCCGACGACTCTTCCAGAATTCCGCGTTGACCACGTACAGCCGATACAGCTGCAGGATGATCACCAGAGAGTTTTTACCTACAAAGATGGGGAGATGAGAGAAAGATGAGAGATGATACCCTATGAGATGCCCTTACATGTAAAGAAGACATTCATGTAGTTGATAATCTTGTACTGGAAGATGATCAGCAGGCGGAAGGTGAGGAACGGAGCGTCCTGCAGTATGACATTGAGGACAATGCCCCACACATCAATGCCACAGCAGCAGTTCTGGCAGCAGTCCGTGTGTCTACAAAAGAAAATAAAAGGGAATTACAATTTGGGCAAAGAAATGGCTACCACTTACTCCTCTTTCTGGTGCGAGCCACTGCCCCGGGGTCGTCTTCCCCGTGTGGCCGAGAGCACAATCGTGAACTGCATGAGACTCCAGGACCAGATGCCCAGCGTCAGGTAGACCAGGAAGCCAATGCGTGCAATGGAATCATCCTTATAGGAGTCGAAAAACTCAATGATGTCCGCCGCCGTGCCAATGTAGACCAGCAGAAGCTGACTCAGCTGATCCCGCGTGAGATCTCCCTTGGGCAGCAGCCAGCGGCCAACGATCAGAATGAGCATCAGGAACTGCTCAATCAGGGTGGTCCAGGTGTCCGCACTGATGACGGGCAGCTTGATGCCCGCATCGTCCAGCAGATCCGCCACTGGATCCATGCCACTGCTGTTGCTGCTGCCGCTGGGGCCGCTGATGAGGCTGCTGCTGGGGCTGCTGAAGTTGTTCGGATTGGTGCTGGTGGCATTCGAGCTGGTCAGCGAGGCATTGATTATCTGCAGGCGACGCTCAATCTTGTCCAGCTCCAACAGCCAAATGGCGGGCACAATGCTGCTCAGGTATAGAAACACGGAGGGGCAGAACCTGGGGACAAGAGGTGGACATAAAAGAGCGTTCAAAGAGGAATAGCAAAAACAAACAATGGTCACCGAGCGATGCCTCGAAAGGTAAACATCAGCCACCCACCACTGCCACCCCACCACCCCCCTTTCACACGGCATTCCATTAAAGTTTTTACTATTACGACAGTGTGGGGTTGGGAACGGGGATGGTCAGTCTGGGGCCATTCCCCACATTAAACACATGATTTCACTTTTAATTGAAAATCAAAACCCGAGGGTGACGTCAGTGTCCAGCCGATTGTTGTTTACATTGCAGGAGAAGGAGCCGGAATGGGTCAAGATCTGCAGGAGAATCTGCCTGAGCCTTACCAGCGCCACTCCTGCGTCTTCTTGATCATGATGGTGAAAATGCCCTCGAGCAGCAGCAGCAGCAGGGGTCCGCATAGTGTCCAGTAGATGATGTCGTCCTTGAACGTCGTCACCTGCCAAATGGCCAGCAGACTGTGGGCACTGAAGATGATCCTCGTGAGGATGGCCTTTATCGTGGATATTATCTTGGCCATGATACTCTCAATGACATAATCCTGTGGCTCTCAGCATTGAGTGTCAATCAGTCTCCTCCGATAGAACCAAATCGAACCGATACCGAACCGCACAGGGCGAAAAGCCAAACGAAACTGATTTGACGGACAGCAGAACCGCGGGCCAAAATGCTTTCATTAGATGTTTAAACGCTTTTTAAGAAATTAAGGACACCGCAGCGGCGAAAGGCGCGTAATTGGTGAATGGACGTGGACCCAGTCCCAGTGTCTCTGTGTCCGCCTTAGCCGAAGAGTCTTCGTCATATCCAGGACCGTCTCTGGCGGCGAAGGGAGGACATTCGAAGCTGTACTCCAAATAGCTTGAAACGCTCCTGGTAATGACACCCCCGAACGAAATCGAACCCATGCGTGTTACACTTATAGTATGTGTACCTAGAAATCACACGACCGTTAAATGGTTCAGCTGACTTTTTAGCCAACGACTAGCCAGGCCAGGCCAAGCCCTGCCCGGCTCGGCTCTGCTCCGAGGCTCCAGGTCTGGACACAAATGCAATGCAAACAAATCGCGGGAGTGAAATGGCGCGGCGCCCGCCCAGCCTTGGCCATCAAAACGTGATAATGTAGCTGCATGGAAAGTTATAGTCATCATAAAACCACCCCCCATAGAAGTTGTTGATGTTTACTTTTAATGTGGGTAAAGTTAGGTCAATGTTTTTAGCGCACGTGAAGTCATTGAACAGTGAAAATAAAGACAATGGAGGTCCGATAGAGGATTGTCCGTGCTGGACGACCAACCTGTTGATTAGAAAACATAAATTGTACAAGTAAGTGCGCTATTGACGAGTTTTGGGGCTATAAATTGTCAGATTCTTAGATTTGCCTAGCACTCAACAGAAAAAACACTTCACAATAACCAAAATTATTGATATCCTTGACAATTTGGAAATCATATCATAACTTAACTATAAAAATTCTTACATATACACATACCAATATACAATTCATTTGTCAGATCGATCGGATTATAATCATATTTCTGCCCTTTTAACTGCAGCCATTTTCTTTTTATCTTGTTGGTTTTGAGAAATCACAATATTCAAATTTAAATTCAAATTTTCTCAGTATTTAGTACAGAGTTTTTCAACACTGGCTGGGCTATCGTTATCGTTCCTTATTTGCCAGAGGTACCATCCAGGGCTACCATTTACGATAAATTATATACTGTTTGGCATATATAGGGATCCGGATCGAACAATTAACCCATTTTAGACCAAGGGAATATTTTAATATTGCACAGAAAATAATACAAATTCAGTTATGTAAGCGCAGTTCAGGTGAAATATATCGTTGTTTTTTTTTAAGTTTAGAGGAAGATGGCATGGAACTACAAGAAGAACTTACAATCAGTAATATTTTCTGGCATTTACCTCAAGTTTGAACTGTTTAAATAGGGGGGCTTACGGGGATTAAGCAATCAGCTGTTTCAAACAAAACACAAACACGTGAAAATATAGTAAATAAACTGATATTTAAGAGCAAATTGGATGGAAATGTCGTCAAGTGAGTCCGCGTCAGACTCGGAGCCGGAGTCGGTAGCAGTCAGTGAAGATGAAAGTCAGGTAAAACAAAAAGAGCTAGGGTTGAGCTCATCCAACTAATGAAAATCTGTTTCAGTCGGCCATTCGCCAAGATCTTAAGGGCATGTCCTTCGAGGAGATTATGCAGCTCAAGGAAGAGCTCGGCGCCAAGGTCTACAAGGAGGCAGTGCTGGGCAGCAAGAGCGCGCCGACAAAGAAAGGAAAAACAAAAACAGACCTCAAACGTCTCAACAAAAATCGTCCGCGTGAGATGAGTTCCAGACGACAGGTTCCCTTCCTGGGCGCTGAGCACCGTGTAGAGCGCAAAAAGGAGGTTGAGCTGCGGGATCCACGATTCGATGAAAAGTCGGGAGACTACAACATTGAAACCTTCAAGAAAAACTACAAGTTTGTGACGAAAATACGCGATAAAGAAGTTGGCCAGCTGAAGAAGCAACTGGACCAAGTGGCTGATGCCGAGGAGAAGAAGAAAATCAAGCACACCATGCAAAGGCTCATCAACAAAAATGTGGAGGACAAGCGGTGGCACAGCAAGCAACATTCCTTGAAGAAGGAGCGCGACTACATCCAAAAGTCCCACAACGAAGGACAGCAGCCTCACTATCTCACCAAGAGTATGTTTCCCTATACCGTTTCTTAACAGAGTATATCTTTTACAAACTTTTTCTATTTTAGAGGAACGGCGTGCCAAAGAGCTGGTCGCCCAGTTCGAGCTTCTGAAGAGCACCGGAAAGCTGAACAAGCATTTGGAGAAGAGGCGGAAGAAGAATGCTGCCAAGGACAGAAAGCGGATTGGCATAGATTAGATTTTCTTGCTTTAGTTATAAATGTATATTAACGATTAAACAGTTTTCATATTGAACTCCTTCCAAACTAGCCCGTGCGCAGCATCTTTGCCTCTCGCTTCTCTTGGAGCTCACGTCGCTGCTGCTCCACAATGGTCTTGCGCTCCTCCAGGAATTCGCCGTAGGCCGCTGGATCCAAGTCACGGACCACCTTAATGCCACAAGTCCGTGCAATGCTAATGAGCATCTCACACATTTGCTGAAAAGAATTTAAATGAAAATTTTGTTTTTTTGGACTCCTTCCTGCTTCACCTGAACTTACCTGCATGGACAGTAGGGCGTTGGGCGGATCTTGGATCTTTATGGCTGCAATTTCGTACAAATGCTTAAGAGTTATCATACCGGCCACTTCCTTGCCAGGCGTCATAGTTCCTCGTTGAATCCCCGCCGCCTGCTTCAAAAAGAAAGTCGCCGGCGGATGATGTATGGCCAGGTCGTAGCTGCGATCGCTGTTTACAGATATGCGGCAGGGCAGAGGCACGCCCTCAATCATTTCCGCTGTCTTCGTGTTGAAGTCCTTGCAGAATGCGGCAATGTTGATGGCACGCTGTGGATTGATTATCATGGATCAATCCCAAATGTGTTATATTTAGAGTAGCACCAACCTGACCCAGCATGGGTCCGAGTGGCGGACCTGCCGCCGCCATTCCAGCGGGTATGTTGGTCTTCAGTTTACTCGTATGCGTCACCCGCTCGACTGTCTTCTTCAGGGACTTTAGTTTACCGGCTGCTTTGGACATTTTAATTGATTTACTTCGTTAAAATTGCGGCACGGCGGTGTTGTTATGCAAAGTTAAAAAATATCTGAACCTTAACCCACTTGACGCACTATTAAAAAAACCTTTATAACAACAGGTGAACAACTTCAGCTCAGCCGCTGAAAACAATACCATTCATAAATAATTATTGTAGCTTTATGCTATCTTTGCTCTTAACTTACAAAAAATAAAAAAATGCGATATCTTTCATCTGAAATGCGCCAAAATTATTAAAGTTTCATAATATTCGTGGATTGTATTTTAATACCCACTGGGTTAATCGTTCTCTGTCTATGATCGGAAATCATTTTACTCGTTTTTGATCTTCCGTCGAATATAACTAGCTAACTAAGATCTCAGCCTTGAAAATATAATTTTGTACAATTGATCAATCAATTTTCAACAAGATTGGTAAATTATAAGAAGTCCCTTTTAGTGGATTGATTATAAATATCGTTTAAAAAAGTCTACAAAAAATTCCAGCATATTAATGTTCTACATGGTAACTACACATTTTCTACATAACAACTACATAGCTGTAGTGTAAAAAACATTCGTTAGGAGGAATCCGTTTTTATACCCGATACTCAAAATGAGTATTGGGGTATATTAGATTTGTGGTAAAAGTGGATGTGTGTAACGTCCAGAAGGAATCGTTTCCGACCCTATAAAGTATATATATTCTTGATCAGCATCAATAGCCGAGTCGATTGAGCCCTGTCTGTCTGTCCGTCCGTCCGTCTGTCCGTCTGTCCGTCTGTCCGTCCCCTTCAACGCCTAATGCTCAAAGACTATAAGAGCTAGAGCAACGATATTTTGGATCCAGACTTCTGTAATATGTCACTGCTCCAAAAATATTTCAAAACTTTGCCCCGCCCACTTCCGCCCCCACAAAGGGCGAAAATCTGTGGCATCCACAATTTTAAAGATACGAGAAAACTAAAAACGCAGAATCGTAGAGAATGACCATATCTTTTAGACTGCAGAATCTGAATTCGATCGTATTATTATTATAGCCAGCATCAAGAAAACAATTTCATTTTTTCTCGCCCTGTCTCTCTCTAACACACAGGTAGCATAGGCGGCTTTGCTTAGAGTAAAACATTAGCGCCTAGATCTCAGAGACTATAAAAGCTAGAGCAGCCAAATTTGGTATCCACACTCCTAATATATCGGACCGAGACGAGTTTGTTTCAAAATTTCGCCACACCCCCTTCCGCCCCCGCAAAGGATGCAAATCTGGGGATATTCACAAATCTCAGAGACTATTAAAGCTAGAGTAACCAAATCTGGTATCCGCACTTCTGTTAGATCTCACTATAAAACCTTTATCTCAAAATTTCGCCCCACCCCCTTCCGCCCACACAAAGGACGAAAATCTGTTGCATCCACAATATTGCAGATTTGAGAAAACTAAAAACGCAGAATCATAGATAACGACCATATCTATCAGATTGCTGAATCTGGATCAGATCAGATCATTTTTATAGCCAAAGGAAACAAATCAATTTGCAGTGGCTACGCAGCGCGTGACGTCACGCTCAGACTGATTTTCTGTCTCTCTCGCACGCTCTCTTTGTCGTGTCGTTTAATATTAGCGGCGTCTGCCGGAGGAGAGCCATACTGACTTAGTATCGGGTATAACCGTAGAGTTGCGGTGTCCGCAGCAACTCACAACGTTCCACCTCGTTTAAAACTGATTTTTAAATTTAATTTAAGGTGGAGCAAATTCGAAATTAATCCTCATCAAAATTCAACTTGTGAGATCTACAGAGGCCAATCGACGCTTCTGAATCATAGGGACTGGAGAGCAGTTGCAGTTGTCCGAGCACTTTTGATTGCCATGAAAACTGATGCTCAGCCTAGTTCCCCATCGTTCACCCCATCTTACTCCCCTCCAGAAGACTTTGCTGCTTCACAACCTGTTGATACAATTATAGCGAATCGAATGAACCAAACAAAATTCTAAGAAATTTAAGCGAACATTGCTCTAATCTCTGATCCGTCCAATTCAAACGAATAATCGCTTTATAAGGGCTGTTCAATAAGTCACTGCATCTGTCAAAAGGCATCTTTCAGTTGACTCCATTAATAAATAAACGGTTTGGTGTTGGTGTTGTTTTTCTAATCTGTAGGGTTCTACAGATTCTCATCCTGACTCTCTGAATGGCAGAAAGAAGGAGGAGCGCCTGAATCGCAGTCGTTATAGGGTTGGTGTTTTGAGTTTTGTCCTCAACACTTTAAGACAACACTTAAGACACTTTAAGACTTTAATGTAGGCTAAAAATAAATAACTGCAGCAGGGGCTGCCAATAAAATTGCCACAAACCTGAGGGGATTCTAAGGATTGGGTCTTCACTTGGAGAAAACTAGATATATACACTTGTACATAGCTTCTGCCGGGTTACATTACGAGCACATTTCCAGATGTAAGCTTGGGAAACCACAAATGAATCAAACAAGAAATTTATGAAAATCAATAAGACCCCCACAAACTTCTTGGAACCAATTTGAGATAGAGAATGTGTGATAGAGTTTGGAAGAAGAGGTAAATTCGGTGCTGCCTTAACTTGCTGCCTCTCTGTGTCTGCTTGCTAATGGTTTGGTGCACTTGAAATATGCACTCATATTGCCATCCAGCAACAATTGTGACTTGATTACACACTGTCCGCTAGGTTAGAGACAGGAATTTGTTCACAAAATGGCCCAAACAATAGGTGGCACAACAAAGGAAATCGTTTCAAATCTATAGAGGTCACACGAGTAAGTTGGGACGTGTCGTCCATTCGAGAGGAGCCAGGATAGGACACTGAGCAATAAAGGTGAGTAATTAACTCGACAGAAGTGCTGTTATGAATGCCTGCTGAAAGCCCCAGGCAGGAATATCATACTTTGGGCTGTCTGCTACGCAGTAAGGATGGCGGTAGGCAAGGACAAGGACAATCAATCTTTCGTATTTGACTTGAAACGAATTCAAATTGAACGACAAGTGTATCATCCCTAGTCACAGAAAGTTATAACTAATTTATGCAAATTCCTTTCCTTTCCTATCTGTCTGTTTGCCTGGCCGAGAGGAAGAAGTCGCCTGCCTTTGCAATGTAAACAAAAGATGAAACACGTGCTGGATCTGTCGACGCGCATGCGCCACCTAACATCTAGTTAACAGCAGGACTTACAGAGATGCCTGTTTGGAGTCCTCTTTTAAAGATGAGGCTTGCGACTAGCCGGCACAGTTCGCTGTTGTCACTCGTTCGGTTGAGCTCAGAAGTCGGTCGCGTCTATTACTATCCTTTATCGTGGCAACAAGTGTCCTTGAAAGATGTGCGTAAACAACTCTTGTATGCTCATAGTTTTCGGTTTTGTTATCATACTGATTGGAATTGCTGTTCCTGGCCTTGGCCAAAATGAGACCAGACAGCAGACGGCCGTTCCGAGCGAGGACTGTGGCAGCACGCAGAGAATGGTGGATGAGTGCTTCAAGGATTTGCCGCCTCATCTCATGGAGTTCCTGCAGAACACCAAAATCGTCATAAACAAAAGGGACATCACGACAAAGTGCAAGTAAGCAATCAGCCACGGACCGTCGGATACCTACTGCCGGAACCAGAAGTGCATGCGAATTATGAGTGGGAAGAACAAATAACGAGCATTCCCGGATTATTGATTGCCCCACTCAAGCTGGTCTCGTAGCCCCACTCAATATGTAATTTATTCACATTTGACCAGGGCCAGGCCAGGGAATGGAATGCATTCCTGTTTCAGGGACCACAAACAATACCCCGATTTCTGTTGGGAAAGTCCTTGCCAGGGACCGCTAAGGGGACGAAAGTTGACTGATTAATTGTTTCAACTTCAAGTGCCAAAACGAATTAATTAATTCGAAACTTTTGCCATCAATTCTGTTTGTTTTTTGTTTGGTTCTGTTTGGCGTTGACACTGCATTAACTATAATCAGGACGATAATTAACTAATTGTGCGATTAATTAAAACACGTTAAATTAATTGATTGCATTATCAATCAGTTGGGGTTTTGCATCCAGTACTCATATGTAAATTTATCAGGATATGCACCTGGATGACAGCAGCTTTAAATTAAATTTAATTCGTCAAAATTTTGAAGTCTGCCTATCCGTAACAACTTGTACAACAATCGGATACAAATTACCGTTCCTATGGGGCGTACCTTTTACACATCTTATCTGTGTGGGTCCCGTCTGTCGGATGACATATACAGCTTTTCGTATCCCAATCTGAGCCAATGACCCAACGCACAATTGGGACAATCTTTATTCTTGATTGGCGTCAACGGGAAAGCTATCAGTGACACTCCAGATAACCAGCAGTCGGCATTGGATTGTGGACTGATTGGTGCTCAACGCCTTCTTGCAAAAGTAACAAAATCATTGTGTCGAGATTCTAGACTTTTTCAGCAGGAATATTTAAAATTCATGGGAAATTCGTAAGAAAATCTTCTGTTGTACGTAACTGTAGACAAAAGTTCTTATGTTTGACAGGACGTTGCACGAGCACTTCCTTGGAGTGCTCGGGGATAGCTTGAACTTGTTAGTTTATAAAGAATAAGGAGCAAGGAAATGTGGCTAAAGGGGGGCACTAGTGTATCCAGACTTATTCCTTTCTTTTTTATGTCTTCCATTGGATTTACTTTTAAAATGGGTTAAATTAGATTTGATACAGTCAGCAAAAGTGTTGGAATTCCGTCACCCGTATCAAAATCCTGGCAGATACATAGGCCATAAAGTAGGTTGGGACACTTTTCAAGAGTCTTTGAAGCTTTTGGCTTCCTGGTTAGGTTTATTATTAACGAAATGTGTTGCCATCGAGGCAAATACTTTGGGACTTCCTTTTGTGGGGGAGTACATGGCAACAGAACAATATTTGGTGGTAGGGTCCTGGAGACTGTTTGCTGAGAATTTACTCAATTATTGCATTCAAATGGGACTACATAATACACATGTTTTTTTGTAGCATTTTCAACCGCGGCATGCGCTGCTTTGATGCCTACTCGAAGCGGTGCCTGAACGACCGGAAGCTGGAAACCTTTAAGAACAATGTGGAAGGGGCCCGACGATTTTTCTATAAATTTTGCGGTGATGTGGATTTTCAGAGAGGTAAGATAGCGACGGGAGGAAGGAAATCAATTTGGCAAGTCGACTCTGAGCACACCAGAGGGGCAAATGCCCAACAGGGAGATACACAAGGCACAAAGCATATCCCAGAGCATGTATCCGACAGTACACGAGTGAACTACACTGAGATATACCCACAAAGACACAAATTCAACATGGCAATGCAATCAGACCCCACGAGATTATCCCCCCAATGTTCCTTTCAAAGTTCAAACAAAGGCCACTCCACTTGAAAGTAGTTTAAGTGCCTGGCAACATTATCTATGTATGTACTCAAGTATATGTACATATGTGGGTTGGTTGGTTTTTGCAGATTACCTGAGGCACAAGGACTGCTTCGCCTACATCCAATTGGACTGGGTCAGCTGCACATCCGAATTCGAGAGCATCCTCAGTGAGGAGGTACACGATGGGACGCGAAATGCCAGTGAAAAATTCATGGAATTCTGTTGGTAAGTGTGTCTGAGAAGTGTTGCGAATCGAGTGGCTAATTGCCATTCGATACCGGGCCAAATAGCATTCGATGATATACGAGTATGGCATCCCTTTCAGTGCCCGGTACGCCTACGAGAACTGCATCTACAATAGCGCGAGGTACAAGTGCTACAAGAACTCGGCGGAGTTTGCACGGGAGACGGCCAAAATGTTGTCCGACGAGAAGCACTTCAGGAACTGCGCCATACTCGAGAATATCTGCGGACAAGCCTCCCGGCTGGCCCGCCAATGGCTCGGCACTCAGCTGACCCTCCTCCTCATTCTCTTTGTGGTGCGACTCCTGCCGTAAATCAAAGTTCAACACGAATGAGTGAGTGGGTGTGAGTGTGCTGTGCTGTGAGTCTATCTATGGGTTATTGGGTGTGGATGCGTGGATATGGATGTGGTCTGGAGATGGTGGTTTGAGATTGGCTTTTAATTTTTGGGTTGTCCTTCGGTTGTCCAAATGAAAATGCCAAGCATTTTTGTTCTCCCTTCCTTTCTCTCTCTCTCTCTCTATCTCTCTTACTGTTTCCATGTGTCCCTTGATGGTGTCATGTGGTGTATTTTTGGATATGGTTGCGTGGTTGGGTGGGTCTCGGGGTCGGAAAGCGGCACTGGTTTGTCTCTAGTCTGTTAAGCTACATTAAATGTATATTTCAAATAAATTTATCATTCATGATGTTCAACTACAATTGTTTTACAAAGTTCTCAGAGAATACGGGTCGAGTGATGCATGAAATCTTGAATGCAAATAAATTCACCCAACCATTCCTTTCTTTCCTTTATAGAGCTGGCTTTGGTTCAGTGGAAGCTGCAGATAAACTTTTTTTACAGGTGTTCGAGCAAAGAGCTGTTCATGGGTTCTGTTCATGGGTTTTAAGGCGCTTAAACGAGGTCCAAGAACACTGGCTCGCACTCATCTCTAGTCCAACAAAAGCACAGAGCAGAACAGATTTGTATGGCCAACCTTTAATGAAAATAGTACGCACAAATACCAGGAATAGAGCCAAATACCTTCAATTCTTCTGCTAGAAATACCTGCTGTCGGAGCATATTGCATTTTTGCAACAGCCACAAGCGAAAATGCAACCCATTCCTAGCTCTCTGCTTTAATAAAAAACAATACCAATTTAACGAGAAATGGAAAATATTTCTGCACGTTTCTCGTTGGCAGCCCTTAAACTATCCGCTAACTTTATTAGCGAACTTTTTGCGATGGCAATCAGAAGAGCACACACGAGGTCATTGGCTCCAATCTGTTGCTCCCCGATGACAAGTTTAATTGCATTCCGCCCTCAAAGGGTGTCGCGTCGCAATGTACCCCGAAACGGCCAGACTCCAGCGATCTCCTCACGCTGGAGAGTGGGGAGCAAATCCCAGAAACTGGATCTTGCCGCAGCTAAACACGAAATGAAATCAGACCACAGCCACAAGCAGCTGCTGCGCTGCATAAATTTACCAAAGGAAAACGATTTTCCCATCTCGTTGAAGAGTTTCAGAGCCGCTCATGTGGGCTAGGGAGGGCTAGGGAGCCATTGCTGGATGCTGTTTACATTGTTGTAGGTGTAGTGGCTGGTCCAGGTTAATTTTCCTCGCTGTACCCGTAATGGCACTGAACTCCATTACCGAGACTGTCGCAGTAGCTAAAAGTATTCTAGCAAACTTTGACACTGACTTGTAGCACGTGCACTTGTTCCACAAGGTAAGTAAAACGGAGGGAAATTAGCTGGAAAAACTCGGTTTTTCTTCTCAGTATTCAGGGGAAAAGCTTCTTTCAAAGAAATCATTCAGCTGAGAAATATTTTTCCTACCTCGATTAACTTTGTCTTTGAAATCCATTCAGGCTGCAATTTTTCTACTGAAAAAGTTGTTGCTTTTTTCGGAAAAAGGAGGCCATTTGCATGCGAATCAGTGAAGATGCCAAAAAATACCTCGGATAATGTCCTTGAAAATGATATACATATGTACTCCTAAGCATTGAAGGTATTCTTGGGCTTTAAATCTAAGGTCATAAATATTGTAAAATAAACCAATTTCATTTCATTAATTCCAATTAATTATGTAAAATCTCATTAATTTATTAATTATTCATTTAAGAAATACACTAAAAATATGCTAGTACAGACAAAATGGCTTCTCAACGTTTTAAGCCTCTACGAAAAGAAAACATTCCACTCTAGCAATTTATACGAAATACATACAGAACAGGATTCCTTGAAGGATACAGGATACAGGATTCCTTTCTTACGTGATACAGTGGTTTCAGGGCGAGTATTTCACCATATACGAGTATATACCCTTTTAAGTTTTTCAATTTGGATTTTGATGGTATATTAAAAATGTTAAGGATGCTCATAAGAAAGCACACATTTGAAAGTTCTTGATTTTGTAATTGTGTGGCTGTGTGTGAAGTGGTGGCTCTTGAGCTTTTGTGGCATTTTGCCTATTTTATGGAAATGGAAATCTGAATTAAAAATAAACAATTAAGACCCCAAAAAGCAAGACAAAGGATTAATTTTCATAAATGCCAAAACGATACATACTCGTATGTTATTGCATCCACACAAAGGAATATAAATTGGTATTTGGTTAGAGATATTTTTGATAACAATTAAGGTCCTTGCAAGGGCTCAAAATGAACGAATAATATTTCACTTTAAACAAATTGCTCAGAGCAACAAGTAAGCTATAACATTCCCATGTAATCAATCATAAATTGCTTCTGGGTGGATGGATGGATGGATGGATGGAAGGGTGTGCTTTGGGTTTGTGCGCCCGAATGCCTCTAAATCGAACTTTTAATTGAGACAATTATGTGGCTGGGGATATGCACAAAGGTTACTGGGGATTTGCCTGAATGGAAACTCAATGCGCTGCATATTTAACAAGAAACAGTCTTCTAATTAATACACAAAAATTGAGAGGGACCTTCAAACTTTGAAATGGTTATCAATTTCGCTGCCCGCCCATAGGTCCAGAGGCCCCGAGCCAGAAGTTTCCATGGTCCCAAAAGCATTTATCTAATGAATTCCACTGAACGGAATTTCAATTCAATTCAAGTTAAACTATATAATTAAGCCATTCCGTTCAGCTTCTGCATTAAAGAGCTGGCATATTCGGTTTTATTTATACAGAGATGGTCATGCATTAATTAAAGTCGAACAATCCAACTTTAATCAATTCCTGGCAGGACTTTAAGGAATCGAGAAACTAATCGTTCGTTTTAGTTCCCCATAAAACGGAAAAGGTAAGCAAAAGACCAAAAATTTCCAAACTCGTAAAAGCGTACGGTCATAAATCATGGAAAACTGGGAGCGTTTCCCCCAGGGGGAAATTCATAGAAAAAACCATCGAGCATACATGGCCCAGACACACCCTGGCTTGAAAACATTTGGTAAGGGCAATTTATGGTCTTTTGGCTGCGAAATGAAATCAATGTAGAAAATGTAGAACTTTAGCTTGCAACCAAAAAAGAACTCATATCAAAATATTTCGAAGGTTTCGTTAAAAGAAATCGAAGGCACTTTTCGACTGAATTTTCATAAAAGCAGGGGGTGGTGCAGCTATTTTGATTCCCTCAGGGTAAATTCACAACGATTGAAATGACAAGCTATAAATAATTCAAGTGCCGGTTGCCGGTTGCCGGTTTCCTTTTCAAAATAATCTGAAATTTGAGCGGCACAAACAATCTTGACACTATTATTAGATACGAGGGAGTACATATGAACCGAAAATAAACAAACTGCACCTGCGGCCCTCAAAGATTCACCTTTCTCCGCATCTCTGCTTTATTGATACTTTGCTGCTCTTGGAAGATAGATTTTGCAGCAGTTTCTTTGCTTTAATACTTCCCGCCCCAAAGAGTTGCATAAGCCCGAGATTATTGTGAGATTATGAACACATTGATGGCACTCCTGCCGAATGGTACTACCTTAATGGTTTTTCCTTCAAGCTTAATATAAGCTTCGTAAGAGTTACGGAATGATTCAAAACTTTGTTGCAGCTTATTTCAAATTCAATGAGAATTTTTCTTAAGGTCATTAAAGAATATAAAAGTGCCTCTCATCGTTCCTAATCGTACAGCTATTTGAAATGAAAAGCTGTCAGCTAGAACAAGGAAATTTTTGTTTGATAAGATCGAAAATAAATTTCATTGGGACTTAACATTAAATACATCTGTTGTCTGTACAATTATAGCAATCACTTGTTTTAGTTTAATTAAAACTACTTTACTAACTATAAGCCGGCCAACATTCTGCTTGTTTGCGGTTGAAGAGCAAGAGCAAGAAGAAAAGGCAGCAAAATTAATCATATCGTATAATCTGCGTCAGACCACCATCGTCATAACCGCCGCCGCCTCCTCCATTTCTATAGCCCCCACCACCTCCTCGACCGCCGCCACCGCCGCTATATCCATTTGGGCCAAAGTTTCCGGAGTAAACTGGACGACCACTGCCGCCTCCACCCCCACGGCCACCTCCTTGATTATAGTAGTTGTTGGGTGCACCGCCACCTCCTCGTCCGCCGCCTGTATAGATGCCGGGTCCCTGGCCGCCGGGCGGGTTACCTGAAAGTGCCGTTGGAATCAGAGTGCTATGTGAGTATTATGCGATTGCCTTACAGTCATAGCAACCGCCGCCAATGTACACCGCTGCCTCGGTCACAGCTAAAGCACAGAGTGCGAGAACCACAAATGCCGTCGCTTGTCCCATGATGAAGTGTCGAACAGGTCTGGGGCAAGTGCGCCTCACAGCAGCCGCTTATATACGCTGCTCTTTGTGGATCCCAGCGAACGTTATCGCTTCAGCCAAATAGACTATAGACAGGCCGGGCCGCTACGTAAGCATTATTCGCGGCAGGGAAATGCCCACAGATACATGTCGAAAAACAACTGAGAACTTGAGAGTCCAAGCAGTCCGACTATCCGATGACGATCTCTGCTATTTTATAGATGCATTTATCATGTGGACGCTGTACAATTGGTTTGATCGGCTTAGACCACGATTAAGATACAAATTTTTGCATTAAAATGTGGCTCCCTCCTGAAGAGTCCAGTGCTTGTGGGGGCTCCCATTGGACTCTACATACAATACACAAGAACCCATTATACCTTTGTAAGCATTGAGAAACAGGGTAAAGCAATTAACAACAGTCCATCAGTCAGTCAGACAGTCAGACAGCCAGACTGTCATATAGATGCGCTACGTTCTTGGGGGGGTTAAGCTTCAGGTAGACTCACGAGTCACGACTTTTGGGGCGAAACAAGTTCTATTGAGCTCTGGAGATGGGAAATCGCGGGCTCGAGTTTCCCTGGAAACGTTTGCCATTCATGCTTTCAACGTTATAAATTGCATTTTTTGGGGTGTGCCTGTCGGGAACATCGTAAATTTAGTTGTACAAGTTTCAGGCGAATCAATTACGTGAAAGTTTATCAATATGAATAGGGAAAATCCCCATACCGGACATTTTGTATGAAAAATAAGAAAAATAAATAAGATTCTAGCACTAATAGCAGCGCACTGCTGTGAACTGGAAGGCTTATCGCATCATTAGATTCAGATTTAGTTAGATTGAGCGACCGCGACATCTATATAAACAGCCTGAAAGGTGGGACAGTAAGCCATTGACTGTCTATCATGAAGTACTTAACGTGTGCACTGCTCTTGCTGGCCCTGATTCCGGCTCTGATCAGCGGTAAGCTCGTTTAATGAGATCGTATCTCAACTGCTGCTAATTGATTGTTATTTGTTTATGACCTGCAGCAGCTCCCAGCACTGTGGTGGTCAATGGTGTTTGCCTGACGTGTAAGCCTGAATTGATCTCTATTTGACAATTGACTATTTGCAATCTCTGGTGAAACAGGTCCCAATCCCCAGGGAGATCGAGTCTATTTGGATGGCCAGGAGTACCGCAGCTTCTCCTCCTCATCCAACGATGATGGCAATGTGGTCATCACACGGGGAGGACGGGGAGGCGGCACTGTCTATCGGAGAGGCGGCAATACCGTCGTCAATGGTCGTTGCGAACACTGCAATGTGGATGTTTAACATCAGAATAAACTCTGAAGTGAACTATTAAGTTTAGTAAACATTTCGAGTTTTGTATTTACTTGATCCATCAAATGAATTCATTTGGCTAAAAGCTTTGGCTATCATTGGCTTGGCTGCCTCTAATCGAATCGCAGCAGCAATGACGGAGTTACCTTGGAGTTACCTTACTCATACAGGGACTCTCTCCGCCAGTCGATTCACCCAAGTAATGGCACATTACGGCTATAACAAAACCCCACATTTGCTTTTCTGTTGTGTTCTTTTGATACTTTGATTTGTTCTGCAAACAAATCGAGTCTGCTGCCGGGCAAATGTCTCAATAGGAAGACCCAGGACCAAAAAGCTGCTGGAAAATAACTAGAACCGTGCAAACAGCCACAGATACACATCAACTAGTCCACGTAGCTATTTGCATATATGTATAGGCACGGGCTTGAGGATGATGTGGCATTGGGGTTACGGTGATGACATGGACATAATTGAATGCGTGCTCATGGCCTCTTGTTGCTGCCACATCGATACTTGAATCAGTACACACATGATGTAATCAGCGCGATGTGATGGCTTACCTGATACCCTGAGCCACGGCTGCAACAAGACGAATGGCAGCGTCTGTCTGCCACAGCCATGGCTGGGGAAATCATGAGTAGTTGCTCTGGAACAATAGAAGGGCCATTGCCAAGATTCGATTTGCAATTTCCAAAGGTAAACATTAACACGGAACCACAAAATACCTGAAGCGCTCTTCACTTACCATTTCTCTGCGAAACGATGGTCCCTGAGGAAGAAATTCGCAAAAGGGCAACCTGAAATTACTCGATAAGCCTAACCACTCGAAAGAGCAAAGCAATGAAGATTTGAAATATACAAATACAATTCAAACCAAGCACTAAGACTGGTGGGATTATGGTCTTCCACTGAATTCTAAATGAATTAATCCTCTACATATAAGAGACTCTGAAAATACGTCTTAAATGAATATTATAGAAATTTTCAAGATGGATTTGCTGGACTTACAATTACTTATATCTCAACTGAGGTTTCCGTGTTGGGTAGCTCTGAAAATAGCACTACTTCTGATGTTCTGAAGGATGCCATTCATATCTGTGCAATTTATTTTCACCATTTCAACTCCTGGCTCGTATTCTTGGCCTTCTGCTCTGTAGTTTTAGTTTTTCCTTTGGATTGTATTTTATTCCGTTGTCTTCCGCCTTTAATTTGATGGAATTATACACCCTAGACTCATTGAAGCTGCTGCCATGCAATGGAGCCTCGAGCAGCCTTGAGCCGACTCGAGCTTGGTCGCAATTTAATCTGCGTTTGCTGGGATTTGATTTCAGACCAATTTCTGTTCTCTTGTGCCTAATTTGTGTGGAATTAGAAGCTGAGATTTCGTTGCTGAGGTGAAAACTGAGGAAGGAGGAGGAGGAGCAGGAGGAGGCGACACCAAACACAATAGATGCCTTTCTGTTGTCTGGACTTTCAAATAAATTTCCACATTTCCTGTTGGCCTCTTAAATGTTCCGGGAAATCCAAACATTGATTTATAGCTTTCAGCGGCTTTTGTATTTTTTTCGTTGTGCGTGTTTTTTTTCAGCAAGAGGCAGGCGACGCCGGTTTAATGCCGTCACGTGCTCTCGGCTTGAAACCTTACATCTGCTCTCCGGCTGAGCTTTATTTGCCACACATACACAGACCCGGCCAAACAGTAAATTTACATAGCATGTTTAAATTATTATTCTGCTCTTTGGCTCTCTGGATCCACACTCTGTTTACCAGGGGCTGTCGCCAGGAGACATTAATAAATGAATTCAATTCAGATTACCAGCATGCCATTATCGAGTGGATTATGCTTAACTTTTTTTGTTGATTCCCTTCTTTCCGGTACAATATATCTCAATTGAAATGTGCGGCACGACACATTTTTGCGGGTGGGCCTTGCTTACACTGCGTATACGTAATTAAAATGTGGCAGACGGCAGTTGATGGAAGTCGACAATCTGATTGCGGGAGTGGGCGTGCCCCACCACAAATTCTTGGAACAAAACAACCAGCCACACCACAGTCACAGCAAAATTCCTTGAATTAATGCAGCAGAGGTCCCCAGATTCATAAAGGTAGAGAAAATACATTAATAGCATTGGTCAATGGGGACCCACGCTCCATTACGGGGTGGGACTGTGAGTGCTGCAGTCAAAGCAAAAAAAAAACCTTTAATTAAGCAAACAGTAAATGGATCTAGGTTCCTTAAGGCATACTCGTATTTCAAAAATGTACGGCTTTTGCAATTTCTATGCAATTTTTGTTCTACCTCAATGTGAGCAATTTGCAAAGCTGTGAGAGGACTCTGGCCACAGATTATTATGCCTAAATGTGTAGCAGCCCAGGATGTCGTTGAGTAATAAAGGGAAAATCCGATATTGGTCCCAGCCCCTGGCCTTTTATTATGCTTCTAGTTTGGGCCATTGCAGCTACTCTACGAAGCCATAAATTGGGCATCATTCTGGTCTTAGCCTGAAACTTTAAGCCGATTTCTAGTTATTCAACAGTTTATTGCCAGCAAAGGAACAAAGGAAAACTTTTTGAAAACTCCCCAGCATGCACAAGCAAAATAAACAGTAGAAGTAGAAAGTACAGACAGGTGAATGTTGTGGGCGAAAGTTTTTACTTGAAAACTTTCTTTCGCTCGAAAGCGTATTTCAAATTGAAATATTTTTGCAGTCAGTAACCCTGGCAGCAAACATAGTCAGGACATTGACACAATGCCATGGCGTTCATAAGTGGAACGGATCTGGCATTTAATTTAGCCTTTCAAGAGCGGCCTAATTGAGCGCACTCTGGCAGAGGGACTAGGTCCAGTCAGGATTAATTTATTTATCATGCAAAGCGTATCTGCTACAAGGGGGTTCCGAGAACATCATATTTTCATTGGATTTACCAGTTCGGGCTCTCTTGTTGTCAATTAATCGTCGCACAGTTGTTGTGTGCAGTCTGCTGGGTCGTCGAGTGTAAACAAATTAAACGATAAATGTGTACACATTTTAATTTGCCTTTCCGGCTGGCTCTGCGGTATTTGCACTCCCATTAAAAGAGATTCACACAAAGCACTTCAAAGGGTGGACGCGGAAATGTACTCATCTTTTAGTTCAGGACTCCCTCTCCCCGCCTATGTTTTATACAGGCGTATAGAAAAGGAGAACGCATGCTCGACCAATCTGATCGAACTCCCTGATTTTCGGGAATCGATTGCTGCTGGTCTGGTGGCATTTCAAACCAAAAACTATCCAGGTCGTCCAATCACTGGTTTCAACAATCGATCTTCACGAACAATCCATTCTCCATCCTGTCTGACAGAGCAGAGAATGCAGTCTCCACTCTCTCAGCGACCTTCAAAACTAGTGCTCAAACTAGGTGAAAAATCTAAGCATCCAATATCGGACTTGCGGTTTGACCAGCTAAACCATTTTCCGGACTGGTTGGGTCGAGAAAGTGGAAGAAGATGGTGCAAGTACTGTAAAACTTCACAAACGCAGTGCGTTTGCACTAAATGCAATCTGCATTTATGTTGCTCAGCCAACAAAAATTGTTTTTCGGAGTATCATAAAAATAAATAAAATTAAACTTCGCTATTGGGAAATGACTTTTTTATACTCAGAGCCCCAAGAGTGCCTACAGGCACTTATTCACTTTTTCTCACCTTACAGGTAAACGAAAGCTTGTACACTCTTTTTAAGTACATATTTGAGTTCAGGAGCCGCAATTCACTATAGAAAAAATTATTTGAATTATTTTCTTCTATTATTTTAGAAAATAGTCTTAGAGGGTTAATTATGTGTCCACAAATTGAATATTATTTCTTTAATTATCATTTTTTTGATTAATCCTTGGACCTTGGACGGATAAATTATCCTCTGATTTTCCATGTAATTTTGTTCCTGATTGATTGCTTGCAAAACAGGAGGTTTTGAATTTCTTTTAAATTAAAATGTGGCGCTATCATCGTGATACTGCTATTGGTGGTGATACTATGTCTTTAAAGGGTATATGTTGTGGGCAAAGTTTTCAGGACCTCCCCATTTTAGCCAGGGTCAGTGGCCCAAAAAGGTCTTCCCTTTTATTTTTGCAAAGGAAAGGTACAGAAACAAATCAATTTTTACATTTTCGCTTTCCACCTGCCACCTGAGCTCTATCGTCCTTAGAGTGCACTCAGGCAGCATCTGAGTCAACAAAAGGGGTAGGAAGATCAATAGCAGCCGGTAACAACATAACAACATCAACTAGAAGCTCTGGCTGCGGCTGCTGTCCTGGCTGTGGATGAAATGTATGCAGCACGGACCTGGAAAATTATGGGAACTTTCCAGCTGCTGCTATTTTCAGTTTCAGTATGCTACTCGCATTCGGAAATGGCCCCACTCTGTCTGCCACAGTTGTTTCTTATGGTGACGCCCCCATTGCTGACCTGTCAACACGGGGCGTATGCGTGATGCATGCAACAAACCATTTTGATTCAATGAGTTGAGCACCACGTGGGCGGAAGTTATAGCCAATTATTAGGAAACAATTGTGCATTACGAAATACATCTTGTCCTTTGAATTGTCGGCAACAGCATTCGGTAAGAATATTTATATTCCGAGAGAGCAGAGGCTCTAAGGTTATTAGTTAACAAGCTTCTGCCAAAAAAGGAATTACCCAGGAATTATGGCGGAATACGTATGCCTCCATTGCCGGAGGCCATTAAATCATTTCTAATGATGGCAGCCTGCTGCTTCTGCTGCTGCTTTGTGTGTGGTCTAATGCGATTACGGGGGAGATGTGTTACCTGTGCTCTTGCCTTTTTAATTAGCCTGAGGCCGGACCATTTATCAACCCAAACCATCGAGCATTCAGTGAGTCCAGACGATTTCCGTTCAGTCTTACGGATTGTTTCTCGAGAAGCTGCCGCTACTTATAGTTTTTAATCTGCTTTCCAGGCCATTGACTGGCCTTAATTAGGTCAAAGTTCACTGCCGGATTCATTAGAAGTCCGATTTGACCTGCACCCTGCCACAATCCATTCAATTTGATTTACTGCAGAATGCTGTCTGGCCTTCCCTCCCACCCAAAGGGCAACTAAAATATGGCAAGGGCCACCCAGAGCAGGAGTGTCGAAAGCAAGCGGCTGTCAATGCACTTAAATTTCATTGGGACACCTGTTCAGCCACATATATGTACATAGATAATATATATGTAGAAATCGACAGCTGTCTACACGAGTGCCCTGAGAGGTGAAGGACCTGTACTCATTAGAAATGATTTGTTTTGACATCTCGAGTACGGTTGGATTTATAAATACCTACCCTTAAAGGTTCTACTACTCATTCGAGTTGTGTTTTTACACATATGTTATTTACCCAATTATTTAATCATACACCTGATCGGAGCTAAATACCCGATGTGCCTATGCAATCAACTGCAAATTAATCGCATATTTGCAACATTTCAATTTGCTAATAATTAAATTCGGAAATCATCATTTAATTATGTAGAGAAGTTGATAAACGTATGAGTACACAGATAATGATGGTAAAGGAATTGAATTTAACTAAATGCTGCTTTCCGAGCCATTGAAGCAGGAAGACAGCTCTCCATTAGGCCCATTAGCAGTTGAAATCAAGAGCCACAAATGTTTAAGCATCATCTATAAAGATTTGGGAAGCTTTAAGTCTTTAAACCCTACAGTGCATTCGCTGGATGACACCCAATGGAGCAGTCGGCAGAACTCAAGACGGAAAAAGAAGAACTCGCATCACGTGGAGAGCAGATGATGGAGCCTCTGGCATGGGGTTAACTGCAGCCATGTGGGACATAAAAGTGCCTAGAAATGGATGAGGAGGCCCATCAGATATATGGCTCGACCCATGATTTTTATGGCTGGCACTAGAGCCTTCCTGTTTATGGTCCTGGCTCACGGACGGGGCTGGAAAAGCAGTTGTGATATATTAAAAAATATATATTTTACAACAATAAAACAAACAGAACTTTAGCCTTTGTTTGCTGTATGTTTATTAGGTTTCCAACATAATGCAATATATTTTGCATAGACTCCGCCATGGCCATGGCATTGGGGCTGCCGGGAAAGGTTGTAAGGCTATTACGACTGCTCCTGGTGTGATATTAATAGCATTAGTATAATAGAGACTGCCATACACATAGCCTCCCACTGACTATGGGTCTCCCGTGTACTCGTGCCAGTCGTGCCTTTGACTTCCTGTCGTCATTAGCTCTTTGCCTGTCGCCGCTTGTCGTTGAATCAATAAGGTCTCAGACCTCGAGATTTACAAGATATTGCCGCCAGTCGCTGTTTCAGACGGGCTAATAAGATTTCCATTTAAATAATCACTTCAAAGGGCTGCGCACTGCTGGAGAGCCTGAGCCTGAGCCTGAGAAACCTGTTTTTTCATCAAATATCCCACAATTAGCTGATTTTTCAACAGTCGAGTGCCAGGAGATGCCTGAAAATGAAGGCCAGCTGCAAGTTGAATAATTTTACTATCCACCAACATCACTTGATATTTAAAGAGGACAGCAGGAATTATAAAATTCTAGGGAAAATTGATTTACCTTAATGGAAATGCGCAGAAAATATATGCAATATGCATGGTTATTATTCAAACAAAATTTCATTTTTAATAGATGATAATTTATGCATTGCAAATAGCACATGGCATATTGCGAGAGTCAGTCCATTGAACATTGTATTCTTATTTTGTAAACAATTCCAACTAACTGATTCTGTGCCATTCACAGGAAAATTCTGTTGCTGTTATGAACGTATGTACAGATTCAGTTAAGCAAACGGTTTTGTTTTAGTTAGAAAAGTTGGCAGGGAAAATCTAAACATGAGAGCATGAGAAAACGTGCCAATAAAACGCTCTTAAATCTGTCATTTAAGGTCTGCTAAATTTCCCTAGACAGCAAACACACGCTCTCACACATACTTCAACGCTTTTGACAGCCCCACACACACCCACACACACTTGAGCACTCGACGAGCTCTCAAAAAGTCACAGCATACTTTGAGGAGTGCCCTGATTCCACGTATGTGGATGTTGATGCTAAGCGTTGTCTGATGGGAGCAGAGACAGACTAAATTGTGGAAGGGTGGGTTGGCTAGCTTGACGCCAACACGGTAATTGGTTGATGCCGCCTCCTCAGGCGGATATTCCAGCCTCAGTCAGAGTTAAATGAGCCCCGGAAGACCACAACTACGGGAGCCAGTCCGTTATGCATATTAATTAGTTTTGGTGGTCATTATGCATTTACAAGATGCATATGTAGTACACATATCTGTGTTTTTTCCAACTATGGAGGTCGGTGTGTGTTCGTGTGTGCTTAGGGGGCAGGCAGCACTTTCGAAGTGGACTTGCGGCTGAGCAATTTTCCTGGAAGTGCTCATGTTATTCGCAAAACTTTCTCGACGATTTGATATAATTCGGACAGTTTGCTTAATTTGTGATGACCACTTAACAGCTGGTTTAACTTTGATAACTTTGGTTTAACCATGACAAGGGGATTAAATGAATGATCTGCAAAAGTTTAACAAAAATTGTCAGTAACGCTATTTGTTTAATCACAAATTAAAATAAAACCTTTATGATACATGGGATGGGTTTGAAACTATTTATTTTATTATTATTATAGTCAATCGAAAAGTCCTGCACCGATTGAGCTGAAATGTGGTTATATTAAAAAATGCAGTCCCAGGATGGTAATAGGCTAGATGTATATTTACATATGAAATCGGAAACGCGACCGCGGAAAAACACGCAAGGGGAAAGGCATCAAGAGGTGATTTGTATAGAGCAGCGTTTCAATACGATTGCACAATTGAATACGCTTCGCATCCTTTCTTTCGCATCAATCAAATGGGAGTTGTTTGTGAGCATTGTGGTGCATTAAAGTTTGCGGCATAAACACCTGGATTATGTTGCCCCATTAGTGACTCCAACTGTTTCCAAATGATTTCATTCGGTGTTACGAATAAGAAACAGCCTAAGTTTCCAGGGTGCAGCAACAGGTAAGAATCGAAATCACGGCTTGCGAATAAGTCTCAAACCAAAAAATATTTTCTACCACCAAGTATTGCATAATTAAACTGATGTAAGAGGTTTGCTGTGTTTTGTTCCTCATTTCCTGATCCATGCGTAACCACAAATTGCACCGCAGTGAAACGTGGCAGGGTACAGCTAGTAATAAATAATAATAATAAACAAAGTCAGACTTGGAACTGCTTTGGAGTTTGACACAATATAGAATTCTTGAAAATCTCACTACGCCTGTCAGCCTTTTTTTACGCGCCAAAATTTGATTTTTGATCTGACAGATTTTGTTGTTACTAGTGGTGATAGTTCACACGATATGCAGAACAGGGTTGAAATATTCGGAAAATCGAACAAACGCAACTAAAATTCAACCATAACTCAACTTTTGGCCGTCACGAGGCCCCTATGCTTATCACAGATAAAAAAAAAGCTTAGTTTTCCTCAAAACTAATGTAATTCACTTTCATCGGCATAATTACGGTATATTTCAAAAAATTAAAAGGTATACTTTGGTATATATCTGTGGGTCCAACGATATATTTTATCGATAGGTTCATCCCTAATTCACACGTGCGGCGGTTTATTTATTTACTGATTCTTGAAATAAAAGTAAAATGGATGATAAAACCATTATTGAGACTGTTTGTCGCCATCATCACGATGAACAACCCGTAATGCGTAAGTCATAAGTTCTCCGTATCTCTGTGTGAAGTAACAACGTTTTGGCAGTTAAATTTCAGAATGGCTCTTTGGGCGGCACCGCCGACTTCTCTATCGTAGAGAGTAGAAAGGATAAGCGGAAGCGCGCTGCGGTCATTGCCGGCGACCAACTTTACACGGGGGAGGTGCGGGATAACGAGCAGTTTGACACGTACATCTGCTTGCGCGAAAAGAGCACAAACAAGGTGCAAATCATTCCCGTTCAGCAGGCGCTGCTGTCCAATAGCGTCTACCAGCAGCTGGAACAGAAAGAGAAGCAGAAGGTCTTACCAATGCTTACCAAGGAGCATGCTGCTAAGAAACTCCTGAAGGAGTACGGAGGTCGCAAGGCCTCGCGCCTCGTGGACAATCGCGAAAAGATGATGGTCAATGTGGAAGTTGTGCGTCAAGATTTGGACGAAACAGTGCAGGCCTCCCCACAGAACGACGACGAAGAGGACAAGACACTGGCCGACGTGAGTGCCAGCAACGAGGAGTACTTGGCCACCATAGTGCCCAAGTTTGACAAAACAGCCACTAAGATCAGTGAGGTGTTTGACGTGGAGGACGTGGTGCCGGCCAACTTGCTGGAGAGGCTAGATGAGGAGGCCAAGGTGGTGTACGCTACACCGCTGGAGGCGCTGCCGTAAGTAGATCATTCGAATGGAGATTTGTACCTCAGAGTAACCAGCCTTTTCCCCGCCGCAGAATTGAGTCGGAGTATCTTCGCACTTGCCTCAAGCGCATCCAGGATAGGGAGATAGCCTCGAAGCAGGACTTTCTGCACATTAAGCTTATTATCTACATGGACGCCCTGCAGTCGCTGATAGCACTGCGCTCGCGACAAATGAAGGGCGCGGAGCTGTCCCGCATCACGGAGAAGATCGAGAACGACATACGTCACCGCTTTGCGGACCCTAATGTGGCCAAGAGCTGCACCCGCACCAATTACAGCACGGAGAAGGCGCTCACCCACTTCATTGTGCTGGCTCTGCTCATCAGCGACAAGCACGAGGTCGATGTGAATGTGCTCTCCCGCACCCTACGCACCACCAAGGAACGCATCAAATCGTACGCCCACATCGTCAATGCCCGACCCAAGTCCCGTTCGGATGTGCTCAGTCTGCGCCTGCCCAGCACCGTGCCGGCCTTGGCGAAATCCCGCCGCTTCCAACGCAAGAAGTAGAAGTAGAACACCCTGTTTGACATCGATTAAACAACTTCTAGGTGGCCGGCCTGTCAAGGTCGTCACAATAAAGTTTATTTTTACATTACATTATTTAGGCTTTAATTGAAGAATATCTTGAGTAACATTAGGCGCGTACACCTCCAACACGATGGCGTGCTCCAAACGAAAAAAAAGCATAATGCTGGAATTGGTTATTATCCTGCGTGTTTGAGTGTTGTATGTAACTCCTTTTAATTATTCATTGTAGGGGCCTGGTCCTGGTCCGTAGGCTGGCCGTGTGTACGTGTTGTCTCACTGTCCGTGTCCGAGTGCTGTGCTGGAAAATTTATTTACGGCGGCAATCTTGTTAATCCCTCCCCCTTAGTAGTTAGTTGTGTGAATTCTATGTTGCTTCTTGGTTGGCATCCGCATCCGCAAGTCCCGTCTAAACGGCCAGGCCGAAGACGGACACGATGCAGTACATGGTCTTGTTCTCCCAGCGGACTGTGCAGCTGCCGTCTGTGTCGTTGTTCCAGTAGCAGGAGCTGGCCGTGTGCAGTCCGGCTCCGTTCTTCTGCATGATCATGGCCGTGACGATGTACTTATAGGGCTTCTGCTCCTTGGTGAGCACCGTCAGGCAGTTCTCCACCACCTGGCCGGTCCAGTTGTTCACCTTGTCGTGCTGGTACGCATTACCTCCGATGGTGGTCTCGATGGCCTCCTTAATCGTCTTGCTCACATCATCCACTATGAACTGGCTTTCTTCGCGTGAGTCATCCATTTTTGCTTCAGTGTGCAAGTTGCGAAATCAGTCTAATGTCTTTTTTAACTTGTATGTTGTTTATTTAGCTTGTTTGTTTTATTCGTTGTGCGCGCGCTTTTGTCTCGTAGTCGACGCCTTGAGTGGAAAATAAAATGAAATAAAATATTATTTGTTTTGTTGGGTCTGAATGTCACAGCAGCAGGAACTTTTTACGATCTGCTCTGGAAACTCTAGGACCACTGGACAGTGTGTGCAGGTGGAATTAGTTTATTATTTCGAGCTGCTGCTCACCTTTTGGCTGCTTTTAATTAATAAATTTACGATAAATGACTTTACGATAAATTCAACGCAAAAAATGGAATATACGGCAGTGTGACCGCGGAGGCTTCGATATACGGTCCGACCCTCGGAAATATACCAAAAAATACCGTTAAAATACTGACGAATTCAAGTTATGTTATACATTTTCCTCGTTTTTGATCTTCCGTCGAATATTACTAAATATATAGAATATTTAGCCATGCCCAGACAATTTTATACGATTGATGAATCTATTTTCTACAAGATTGGATAGGTTTTAATCCTTGCTTTTATTGGATTTTACGTAAAAAACGGGTTAAACGAAAAAGTTCGACAAAAAAAAGAGTCACTGTGATGCGTGTAGGCCTTGGAATACCCTATTTTGTTAATTTTATATGAAGATGAAACGTGATTTATAAAGACCTTTTCTCAAATTGATATTCCTTAGAAATATTCAAGTACAATATTAGTATCTTGTATATATTTATGTAGATCCTGATACCTACTGAGCCTTGGAAGACAAACGTATTCAAAATTCTATAACATCCATTTGCCCCAGGGTATGTGTGCATGGAATTAGCAACATTTGTGCATAGAGTTAGCAACATTTGTGTATGGAATGGGACTCATTGTTGCAATAGCGAAACTGCGGCGAATCGGGTATTGCCTATATTTCAAGCTATATAGATTTGCCCACTTAGCTTTATCCCATAGATAAATGCATTTTCTACAAGATTGCTTCTTTTAATTACCTTAATATATTTTATTTTGACTAAAATGCGGTTTTCAAGTAAATGTTGCCGCAACTTTTGTGTATGGAATGAGACTCATTGTTGCCAAAGCGAATTGGGGCGAAATGCGGCGAACTGCGGCGAATTGAAATTCGATGCAAAAAAACGACCAATTTCTCATATTCTTTGTTCCGTTGAATAATACTATCTATATGGAACATTTAGCCATGCCCACTCAATTTTATACGATTGATGAATCAATTCTACACATGATTGGCCTATTCGAAATACTTGCTTTTATTGGATTTCTATATAACATTGAAAATTAAATTAATAATTGACAAAAATACCATTTAGCACTAAAAAACACCTCATGGGAGCGCTGCGAAAACCAGTTTTTACAGTACAGCACCGAAATATACGGTCTCATTTGAAAAATATACCGAGTGGTGCGCGGCAAATCGAACTTTTTTGAATCTGATAGGCAGAAAGGTGCAAAAATATTCGAATATTTCAAATAGACGCACCTGCATTCGAAAAGGACCCAACTTATTGCCACAAATAGACCCTTATGCTTTTATATGTATAAAAAAGACGCCAAGACGCAGTTCTAGAGTACACAGCCTTTAAGAGTACCCCTACTGTCACTATCTATGCCAACAGCTCAGATCGCCTTTGAATTCAGTTAAAAATTCAATTCTATTTATTTTAAAGAGAAATCCTGGAAAGGACAATCTGTGGGGAAGAAACAACCTTAACTACGAAAATAACAGATTCCGGCACAATAACAGGCCCGCCGAAGCTGGTTTGAGTAACTGCATTCAATTCATCGACGGTTTAGTTGAAAAGCATTGATTTAATGTTGGTAATGCCCATATAAATATATGAATTTGAAGAAAGCCAATTGGCTCTCCAGCCAGACGTATAGATTCCTGAACAATGTACTAATGGGCCAGTCCCAGAAGATATTCAGTGATCAACACAGAAAACGAGGTATGCTATTGACTTCCATCCCCATAGACACATTATAAGTAAAGCTGCATATTTTCATATTTTCCGCAGTTTCTGATAAAGTAGAGGCTTTTCAAAACAAACAGAACAGAACGCAAGAAGAGAAATGAGTGAACACGCGGCAAAATCTGTTCTCAGGCAAAACAGAAAGGAAAAGCTGATGAGAACGCCTCGTACAGCTGTTCTCGACTTAAACGACGATTGCTGGAGATTGGTAATGGATTATCTAAACGTAAGAGACCAGCTAAGGCGCGCTTTCTCGATCGTCTGTATGGAAGAAATGTTCAAGAGATATGCAAGCCATCGTTACAGACATATTGATGAATCTCTCACGAATAACATTACCAACGAAGAACTGAAACAATTATTGCAGATCGTTGGCAACCATGTGGTTAGCTATGAGTCCAAATTGAATCCCGATTCTGATGGCAATTCTGCACGAATCTTCGACATTTAAAAATGACTTTTCGACGCACAAGGGGCGGTTGGAACTCTTTAAACAGCCTGAAATATCTGGAATCTTTGCACGCTCATATGCCTTTTGTTCACAATCTCAAGCAATTCACGTGTCTAAGGAAACTGAAGCTCGAGACTTTCTCATATAGCAGAAGAGGATTGGCTGAACTTGATCAATTAGAATCTCTGGAGGTAGGTGCCTATCCTGGATTCGATGCCAGATTGGCGGATTGCTGCCAAACAATGAAGAAATAGCGATACCTTAACTTTGGACAGCTTATTCCAAATATCAGTAAGAACAACTTTGAAATTCTGGTGACGAACTGTCAGCAGCTGGAACGTCTGGCCTTTGGCGTAAAGCTCCTCGACTCCACGGTGCCCTATGAGCTGGTCTGCCAGCTACCCAAGCTTCAGCATTTACAAGTGTGGCATGGTGGTTCCTTACGCGAATCGTTTATCGAGGGATTGATCAACAGACAGGGTTCTCCTCTGGAAAGTCTTATCCTGAAAGGTCACGGTTTGAAGGAGGCACAGGTTCAGCATCTTTGCAATATATCTACACTCAAGAAATTGGATATATTCTGCGATACCCTGCCCTTCGTGGACTTATTGAAGCTGAAGAACCTTGTCTACTTCCATATATCCAGCCCCATGACAGAGGACCAACTTCTGCACCTCCTAGATGCGCTTCCTCGACTAAAAGTTCTCAATTTACTATTTTGCCCAGAGTTATACGTTCCCTTTTTTGACTAGTGTTCGGAACTTGGTTGACGAACAGAGAAAACAGCGCGGGAGGATCAAAATCTATTTCGGATTTAGTGCTAAACCCGTTATTTCGTATGCTAATCTTTTTGTTAAAATCATAGAGGGTCGTTTAGGTCCCATATTAATAAACAAAGAGCTTAAAATCCAAATGTTCCCAAAACGCTTACAAATAAGAAGGGTATACCACTTACATATGTACATGCATGTAGAAGACGCATGTGAAGATTACAAGGAATCCAAGATTATTGGAAGGCATACATATATTTAAATATTGTTAATGGTTATCATGGTTTAAGTACTCACTGACTCATTTACCATATAAATATCGAGGAAATGACTTTTATTTTCTCCCAATGCTTATTTTTCTTTCTTGAGAACAAGTCTCTCGAGATTTACTACTTAAGCAACTCCCAAGTCTCAATGCTCTTCAGTCTTGTATTTGAATTGTTGAGCAACAACTGATCAAAATGAGCTACATTGCTGCATTTTTTGTCCTTGGGTTACTCTCGCAGCAAACTCTGGCAAAAAGTTTTGTGTGTATTTCAGCTTGAGAGATATAGTAGACAGCGAAAATATTCAATAACCATAATCACAGGTGCAATCATATACTGGCTGCACAGACTTCTGCTACAAATCCATAAAATCAGTCTTGGATCTGCAGCTTATGATGCAACTGCAACTGAATAACATTGAAAACAATTGGATGATGCACAAGAATTGGACTGAACTTGGACTAGTAAACCATCAAGACAAACTGGAGAGCAGACAAAAACTAGAGGAAATCGAAACCAAACTAAAACAAAACGAGGATACGTCATCGGCGCAAGCTGCAAGACTAGACAGTGTAGAACATAAATTAGTTGAACGCCAAAAGATGGACACATCTGCCGAAAACGGGCTGTTGGAAATGATCGAAAGAGTGAAACAAAACTTGTCAGACCAGCAGGAAAGAAACGATTCTGATATGGGCAGGCTGAGCGAAAGACTGGGTGGACTGGAGAAACGGATCACAGAGCAGCAGGAGAGGGCTGCTTTGGCCGTAAGCACAGCCACAGAGAGACTTGAAAAATTGGAAGACAAACAAAGACAGCTGGTTGCGGGGGCACAGCAGATGCTGGAGATGCTAGGACGAATGGAAAACCAGATCGCAGTCGAGCAGGCGAGGGTTGGCAATGGCACGTCCTATTTTGGCAAGTTGCGGGATAAAGCAGAGGTACTAGAGAAACAGATCACAGGACAAGAAGAAAGGGTCTCTTTGGATGAAATCTTAGTTACGAAGAGACTCTCCAACATTGAGAAAGTGCTGTCCGAGCAACGGGACAATATAACTTCAAATATAAGTAAAGTGGCTGATGGTCTTAGCGGCATAAAGGAACAATTGTCTGGCCAAAAACTGAAGCATATCGCTGAAGCCGCAATTATCAAGGAAAGTATTGCCAACCTAGAGAAAGACTTAACAGACAGGCAACAAAAGATCGAGTCGAATGGAAGTAAGCTGGCAAAGGTACTGAAAGGGCTCGAAAATAATTTTGCAGGCCATGAAAGGAAACTTGAAAATGACGAAAGGACACTGTCGGACTCACAGACCAGACTGTCGCAGCTTCAGGATCAATTGACGAATCAACAGAAAACAATGTCTACCCACGAGGCAGCTGTAAAAGAGTTAGAGTCCAAATGGAAAACACTCTGGGAGAACCGGTTCGTTTCGTTTGAGAAACTTGGCTCAAAATTGTATTATTTTGTGATGAACGAGAGACTAAACTGGACAGATGCTCGGGATAGATGCCAAGAGCTGGGCAGCCACTTGGCTAGCCCGCAGAACCAGCAGGAGTACGACTTAGTGACAAAGGCTCTACCTGTCTTTCTTCAATTCTGGTTGGATGTTAATGATATTGAAAACGAAGGGGAGTATATGTTGAGTGCTACTTCGAAGAAGAAGGCCACTTTCTTGAAATGGAGGGGATCCGGATACCCAGATAACTGGAAGGGCAATGAAGATTGTGTAGAACTGACCAGAGAAGGAATGAACGATTTGGATTGTTCGGAAAAACATTTTTACATTTGTCAAAAATAGTTGTATTCTACAGTAAATAATTTTGTTTTTAATGAAGCTCATAAAGTGCTCCAAGTTTGAACATTTTTAAACTTGATTAGCACAAGAACGATTTTAATAAGCTTTTTGGAGAACTTAAAGGTGTAGAGCATTCACGCAGTGTGTTTTTTGCAGTTGGTTTGAGTTCTCTTATAATCGTTTCAGTGTACCAGTTGTAAACCGTAGTTTCAACAGCATTCATTGCATTTGGCAGATCTTAGAACGATCCCAACAAACGATAGGATTATATCACGGTTTTTGATAATGTAAACAATATTCTCGAAGATAGTTGGCATATCAGTCCCCTCCTTGAATAATCATAGTATAGTTCATAATAAGTCATCATCTAGGAGGAGTTTCCGCAGTGGAGGTGTGCTGTGCCCGACACCCATTGGCATATGTTTGGAATTGCCTTATCAGCGTATACCGTATGCCTTCGCTTCGTCGCACCTTTTTGTTGGCGAATACAAGTAGAACTCGGAGCTCTTTCGGATGCGCATCAAGTCCTCTCTCGCCTCATCGACACGCTCTCGGTCGTTGCTTTCCACGACGAAGATAAGAGCCTGTAATGAACCAAAAAAGATGCCAATTAGTGATTTGGCAGAGAATTGAAGCAAATCAAAGCACTTACCTGCGCATTTGCAAAGTAATGCCTGTGCAATGACTCTCGACCGCCCACATCCCACACTGTTAATCTCATATTCTTGTATTCTACAGTCTCCACATTTAAACCTAGAGAGAATGGAGGAGAATAAATCATATAAGTAGATCGAGTACCCATATAATTCATTGTTGCTAGTAAGTTTTACCTACCAATCGTAGATATCGTGTGGTTTAACCAGAAGCATCCAAACCGAATACACTTCCCATAGTTGTTGCTTGCCTTTGGATAGGTTCGAGGAGAAGTAAATCAGAAATCTCTTGATTGCTGTTGCTTCTGCTGGCCTTCTGGCTTGTCTGGAATCATGCCAAACGAAGCCCTCCTACTGATCGAGCAGCGATACAACGTTTACGCTCTGATGGCAACGCATAGTGTCCTTGTCACGCTTGAGCATATCTCCGGCCCGCTTCTCGCGCATTTCCCATTCTATCAACTTGCTTCTAAAGAAAATAAACACACTGTATTAGGGAAAATACCACGATCATTGCCTTCTAACTAAGAAGAAAAACGCTTTAGTTTGCTGTCAGTATACAATCACAAGGGACGAGAATCTTTTATAGAATCATTTCCACCATCTATAAATTATGCACAGCAAGACAGAAAGCAATTCACGACAGCTTTAGAAGGACTTTCAATGAAAAAAGAGTAAAAAATCTTGCTGAATATAGACAAACACAGGAATATAAAGAGATTATTAACGATCATAAGAAGGGTGGACGTGTACACCAAGAATTAGTTCAAAATAATACAACGAAAGACATTGATCCCAATCCCGATAACGACGACGACGACGACGGAGAGCCCGGACCATCAAGACAACGGACGACATCTTATCCAACTACTGAAGACGAACTATTTCGATTGGGATAGCTTCTTTGATCTTTTTGAGTCTAATACTGCTGACGCTTCTGCTGCCTCTCTACCTGAACAATCTAGTACAAGTAGTTCTTATAATTATTAAAATAAAGAGAGCATCGAAGAAAGTTCGCTAAGAGAATGACCATATCTAGCAGATGACTGTTATTATAACCGGGTTGAACAAATTTGCAGTGGCTAGGCAATGCCTTCCACGCACTTACTCACTCTAACTCTCGCTCTCTCACGCACACACACGCTTCTCACACGCCCTCTGGCACGGGTATAAATGCAGAGTCGCGGCCGTAGCAGCGACTCACACCGTTCCCCCTCGTGTTTTTGGTTTTGGTGGACACAAATAAGAGACAGGTAGGATAGTTAATCTCCTACCCCGTGGGTCAACAAAGTTGCTCCCAAGTTTTATAGAATACCCAAACTCTTTTGAGGTTTTAGTAGTAGTAGAAAAACCAGTCTGTATGATGATATTAAAGCAGCACAGCACTCCCCTGAATACATATACTCACCATTCACATTCCATGTGTGTACATTTTTGCATGTAATTTCTCATATTTAGCTAGTAGACATCTTGAAATTCAATAGTCGAATTGTTACATGTATATCTTTATATATTTTAATCGAGTGACACGCAAAAAAGAAAGCTAGACATACTGCAGAATATATTCACTTTATATCTCTAAAATTATCGTATGATTAAATATATGTACATAATGGTTAAGATTTGATGGGAATACTGTTTCTCTTGTTGCATGCATTTCTTCCCTTTCTTGGTTATCGATAATGTATTGGTTTTTGTTTTTTGTTTGGGAATCGTGACAATATTTAAATCATAGCATATTTATAAATTTTAGTTCATTAAAGAGATACAGAGTTCATGTGTTATTTGTTTCACTCGCGAAAGGAGCGAACAAGTCAAGTGTTTAACTATATCATAAGCTTTTTGTATATATGATTAATCCAGTAGTGTTTTTTCCTAAAAACGACGTCGTCCCCATGGGACATTATTTCCTCCGACATTATTTCCACGCTGATTGGCGCCTTGGTTCATATTGTTACCGCCAAATTCAAAAGCAAACGAGTCCTATTCGAACAAGGAAATATAATTGTTCAATTGAGTGTAACTTTAGCCATATATAAGCCCGAAATCCCATTTGAATAATGCTATCAAGGCCTGAGAGACCAGAACCAAATCCACCGAGACGATCAACAATCAATTATTCAATTTGAATTGCAGATCAAGATTATACTTCCCCATAAAAAAAAAAACATACGAATAGAAATGAAAATTGTGTCGAAATAAAACCAAAAACGGCACAAGTGCCGCAACACTACGATACACTTTGCTCATATGTTCATACCTACGAATATGTAAGCTTATGTACCCTTTTATGTACCCTATAAAATAAAGAGGTATATTTGGATGGGAATCGCATGCTCACAGATTGATTTGTAGTTTAATGCAGAGAGAAAAGAGACTGCACAACTCTCTCAATTTTACTTGCGCTGGTCATGCGGAGCTGCACATATACGCTCGGCTTGTTAAAATAGATCTACACGAATATAATTTACACCCTTAGATACAAAATGTGTGCTAAGATCATATGTGGATTCACACACCACCACGAAAGTCCCAGAGCAAATAGTCAGGAGCTGCTTGGCTCCCATTTATATACTAGTGTCCCATGGCAGGCATGACATATTTTTAAATAAAATTAATATGAAAATATAACTTGCAATTTCGCTGTCCAGTATACGCCCAAAGTTCAGATTTCTTAAGAGTTTACACAGTGAGTGTCCCAAAAATATAGAAATATACAGCTCGAGAATGGAGTACAACAGATGCCCTGAATTTGATCCAACCCCTTGGATGTTTAGAGAAAACCGTGGTGAACGAAAAAAACTCTTTGCCAGGGGGTTTTTGGCTCGGTTGAGAAACCTCTGTGGTCGAGAGCCCTGTACATACCTGTTTGTTGGGTCCGCCCGGGCCAGAGCTATTTCCAGTCATGGTTGAGTTGTTATTGTTTCCTGATTAGAAAAAACATTCATTTAACCTTTCATGTAGTGCCCTTTTGGTTTAATTCTTACCTCTAAAAACTTCAAAGGGAGAATTACTGTTGCCTCCGAAGTTGTCGAAGCTGGAGTTGTTGCCGCCACCGCCATTGCCGACGAAGCCCTCCTGCTGGTCGAGCAGCGAATTCAGTTGCTGTGCCTGTATGAACAATGTGTTCTCCTGCTGGCGTCGGCGCATATCCTCCTCCTGACGCGCCATGCGTGTCTGCATCTCGGTTTGATGGCGACGCATAGTGTCCTCGTCGCGCTTGCGCATTTCCTCGGCCTGCTTCTCGCGCATTTCCCATTCTATCTTCTTGCGCTCATTGTCCACTTCGCGCTTTCTCAGCTCTAAGGGAAATATACACACACACTATTAGGGAAAATGTATATAAATATAATGGCCATGATCTGCCACGATCATAGGCTCCTAACGAAGAAGAAAAAAGCTTTAGATTTGTTTGTCAGAATGAAACCTCAAAGGACGACAACACAATCTTTTCCGCCAGCCATAAATGTCCAATGGAAGCAATCGATATATGGATGCCCCAGCCCCCACAGTATAAGAAACATTTGCTTGGATGTAACTTTGCAGCAGCCATGATTTCAACCTGAAGCATTAAATTATCCTAAAAACCGCTGGGATTCATTGAATGACGTCGATATACCCTACACCAATGTTCCCATATAGAGAATGGCTCTATTTATTCAGGGATGACGCAAAATAGAGACCATTCTCGATGCAAAATCCACTGTCACACGTAAACTTCGAATGTAATAGGCTCCAATTAACACTAGTTTTGAGTTAATGTTTTCACATGGTATAAGTATAGGAAGGGGTCTAGTGTGGTCTATTCTTGTAACGCCGTTGCCAGTAATGCCAGTACAAAATAAGGAGATAAATATAAATGTACAAATAATCCATAAAAATACTTTAAACCAAATCCTATAATTAGATATATGATTTTTGAGTACCCCTATGGCCATACAGGCACTGCTAGATCACTCTGATATATAAACAAATGGTAGAAAACTGGAAGGTATTCGGAACTTCACATTCCAAAAATTTGGCTAATTTCTGAAATGTATTTGCTTTCCGTAGTAATCAGTTGTTTTCAGAAAGCAATACGCAATGTCGATAAGAGTGGAACAATGGAACCCACATCATTCTGCAAATAAGGAATGTTTTGGCAATGGTAATCGTGATGTTAAATAATGCTAGAAAATTCTATATTCTATGTCAATCAGCACAGAGGAATGTACAATGTATATTACGCCCCCAAAGGCCCCATATTTAGACTCAAGACTTGTTCTAATCCAAAAAGAAATCACAAGTGAGAGAGAAACACGAATATTAGATGACAAAAAGATATTATGATTTGCCGCAGGGGGGTTCTGCGACAAGCACAGGGCAAACAACACAATAGTTATATAGAATCGAGGGGAACGGGACAATAGGAACGTAAAACCCGAAGTTTTTGTTTGTTTTAACCCCCCCGCAACGTGATAATACTGACCTTGACGCAGGAGCTCGGTCTCTTGCTCATATCGAGCGTACTGCATCTGAGCATCCAGCTTTTCCTCTTCCATTTTGAGCTCACGCTTAAGGGTATCCTGCTTGCTCTTGTACAGATCGTGCAGCTGCTTCCAGCGGGAGCCGTACTCGTGCTCAAACGAATTGAGATCTGCGAAGCGCGGGCCGACGCTGCGCTCTTGATTGAACTCCTGCAGCTTCTTGTTGAGGGCCTTCTCGGGCAGCCCATCGTTGTCGTCATTCACCTCCATGGGCTCCACCAGGCAGGGGCGCAGAGAGGCCGTCAAAAAGAAGCACTTCTCATTGCAGAAACGCAGACAGGCGTTGGCCGAGGACTTCTTGGCGAACTCAACAATACCCTCGCCCGTATGCTTGCCGCGATCGTCGACGGTTATGCTGGCCCGTTCGATGGGGCCGAATATCTCGAAAGATTTGTACAACAACTCGTTGGACACGAACGGTGTGAGGTTCCTGACGCGCAAGATGGTTGCATTGGGTGCGAAACGGACGCGTAGCTGGCGACCCTTGCGCATGGTACCGTCCAAGGCGCGCTTGGCTTTCTCGGCATTCACATGATAATCGACCTTAAGGAATGTGAAGTTCTTCTCAATGTTGGAGAAGATTTCGCCAATCTCCCCATAGGGCTTGAACATTTCGCGCAGCTCATTGTCGGTGATGTCGCCGGTTAGATTGCCCACATACAGACGATTGCGGCCAGAGAATTTGGTCTCCTCGGGCACCTCCACGGGTGGCAGCTCCAGTGTAGGCCCACCAATGGCCCGCAGACGTTGGGCAATAAAGAAATCATCCCCGCCTCCACCACCACCGCGTGGACCGCCACCTATACCGCCCATCATGCTCATGTTGGGCCCCCCTTGACCACCTCCCGACCGTTGACCGCCGCCACCGCGATTGCCGCGATCACGCTGCTGTTGCTGGGCGCGTACACCTCCGCCTCCCTGGTAATTGCCACCAACTCCTGGATGGTTGCCACCAACTCCTGGATGATTGTTACCTCCTCCTGGATGATTGTTACCACCTCCTGGATGATTGTTACCTCCTCCTGGATGATTGTTACCACCTCCTGGATGATTGTTACCACCTCCTGGATGGTTGCCGCCACCTGCTTGGTTATTGCCACCGACGCCGAGGCCGCCACCGCGAGGACCACCGCGGAAACCACCTTGCCCTTGTCCTTGAACCTGCCCTGGACCTTGGTTTGCATTGGGGGCTGGCTGCTGAGTTGCAGCCACAGATTCATTAACATTTTCAGCGACATTTCCGGCTTCCGGCTTCGCTGCTTCATTAGTAGTAGACTTTTGCTATATTTGTATTATATATATTTAAATCAGTATAAGAATGATGAAATGGATTTGGAAAATATGCACGTATATGCCTGGGCCCCCAATCTGTAGTACGTCTAATCCCCTCTCAAAGATACGAAGCAATTGGCCTCCAAGCAGAAGGGTCATTGCTTCCACATTCTGGGGGACTAAAGGACACTGCAGAGATGGAGCCCACTCATGGATGCGCATATGCATGTGTATAGGGTAGAATAAAATACATATAATTACGCTTAAATACCTCCCACTCAAGGCAGAAGCCCTTAGCCCTAGATTACGAGACCATTTGGTAATAAACCACCCATCCAACGAAATGGCGTTTGACCCCCTCCAAAATAATACCCTTTCAGAGAGGGATAACACATCCCTTTGCAGGAATTAGCTTTATCCATATAGTTGGCATTGAAAACATCATTTTAGCCATAGAATCGGGTATCTATGGCTCGATAAAGAATGAATGCTAGTAAGTAGCATCGCCTCTTAATTGCTTTCTCACAATGAAATATAAATAAATACAAATAAATAGTATACATGACACTGGTCACGTGTAGCCAGCGCTTAAGCCTACGAAAAGTCACCCCTCCGACTACAGAGATTGCAGAGATCGAAAGCCACTCCGAGCCGGGATCTGTATGCCACAATCGCAGCATCTTACCCACAATAGTAGGATGTGAACCACCAAGAGAACCACCATGTGAACGTTCTATAAATTGTGGATATACCACAGTCTTATACATTTAAGATGGACGGCCTATGCCTTTCACAACGAAAAAAAAATTGCATGCTTGCACATACATCGGTATGTAAATATGTACATACATACATATGTACAACAGTAATTAATCAAAAAGTTCAATGTATTCAAAGAGTGCTCAAAACAACCTGTATTCGAATACGAGTAATAAACTTTTGATGGTCAAAAAAAAAAATATCATTCTTTAATGACCCCCTATCTTTGAACAGTTAAGCATAAAACAATTGGTGAAACATTTTCATCAAAACAATGTACTGCATTTTTTGTGATTAATTCCCAAAATGTGCGTATATGGAAAAACATCTAAAAAAAAAAAAAACCAGAACGAACCGGAATAATTGTTCTTTTCTTTCAGAGACCCATTTATGCATGTTTGGTGTACATACAAGAGAGGATACCGTGAGAGAAGGGGGAGGGGGATCTTGCCGTCAGTTTTTCACTTACGTTTGCGTTATTCGGACCCTGAACATTTTGTCTATTTTGGTTTCCTCCACGGCGATTGCGATTGCCGCCGAATCCATCCTTATTTCCGAAATTCTTGTTCTGATTCTGGCCACCGGCAGCGACGCCACCGGCGGGGCGGCCATTTTGGTTGTTCAAGCCACCGAATCGTGCCTTCTTTTCGGCTGGACTGCCATCGGGGCCAACATTTTGTTTAGGAGCCCCGTGCTTGCCAATATTGCCTTTATTGGCCGGTTGGTTGCCTCTCTGCTGTCGTTGGGGCAAAGGCTTAACGCTATGGGGACCATCTAAATTGATCGTTTCCATCTTAAAATACTTTTAAAAACGAGAAAAATAAATCTCAAAAAATTGCACAACAACACAGTCCGGGACAGGGATGCTAATATATTGATAAATCAGTATATCGATATATATATATTCTTTAAGCGATACTATTTTTATGAATTCTGCGCAAATCTGGTCTATTTTTCTGTTGTTTCTTGACAAGTCAGTGGATATCGGTGGACTTATTCAGATATACCGACATCTTTTTATATTTATTATTATTATATTTATATTTAATGCAATTAAGATCTATCCCATTGCAAAACATAATCTGCATCGATACTGCCGACATCTTATCGATAGTTTTCGAAGGCCGTAAAAAGGAAATCTTTGTTTATTTTATGAGTTTTTAAGCAAAAAAAAATATTCCACCATGACAACATCGCCAACAGATACTGCATCTGCATCTGCATTTTCCAGCTCGGACACAGCCGCCTTGGAGCGCGAGACAGAAGTGCAGGCCGAGGAACAAGTCACATTCGAACAAATCTGGAATGAAACGCACAGAAAAGTGAGCAGTGGATGGATACGACAGAATAGCTTCAAGAGGGTATGTACATAATGTTCACACCAGAAAAACCAGCATCTAAGTGCAATTGTATTCATTGCAGATCTGCCTGCAATTCCCGGATGATTATTTGCCGCACAGCAATGCCATCAGCGTTAGCTTGAAGGAATCGCTGGCTCCAGAGGACATCAAGGTGTTCATTATGGCAGACACCACATATGGCAGCTGTTGTGTGGACGAAATTGCAGCCGCCCACGTGGAGGCAGACAGTGTAATCCACTTTGGAAACGCCTGCCAGAGCAAGGCCAGTCGCTTGCCCGTGCTCTACATGTACCCATGGCTGTTCCTGGATGCGCCAGTGATGATGGAAAAGCTGGCCTCCGCCCTACAGACCGAGTGTAGGGAGCGTGAGGTGTGTGTTTACCTGGACATTGGCTATCACCATTTGCGCGAGCTGCTGGGTGGGGCAAGTAGTCTCTACAAACAGCTCAATGAGGCCCTGCAGCCGAAAGAGCTTGTTTTGGAAGTGTATCCTCTGGCCGAAGAGGATGCGGATGCCGCCAAGCAGCACCCAAAGGCAGCCAGCGAGCGCATCTGCATCTTTGTGGGTTCCGATAACCAGCGCTTTGCCAATCTCTCCTTGACCGCGCCGGCCCTCCAATGGTACATCTTCGATGGAGCCTCCGGCACGCTCAGCTCGAAGAATCCCCTGACAGCGCAGTACATACGCAGGCGCTACTTCTACATCGAAAAGTGCAAGGATGCGCAGACCTTGGGCCTGATCGTGGCCACTCTGACAGCCGATGGATACCTGGATGTGGTCGCCCGCCTACAGGCCATGGCCAAGGCTCGGGGCATCAAAACACAGCTCATCTCCGTGGGTCGCATCAATCCGGCAAAGCTGGCCAACTTCCTGGAGATTGATTGCTTCGTGCTAATCGGCTGCCCCTTCAATAACATGTACAACTCCAAGGAATACTACAAACCCATTGTCTCGGTCTTTGAGGCCGAGATGGCGCTGAACCCCGCCTGGCACATGAAGTATCCCGAGGCGTATGTGACCGATTTCAAAGAGCTGCTTCCCGAGGGACGCCGCTTCCTTGCCTTCGATGAGCAGGCGGTGCCCGAACACGACGTCAGCTTGGTCAGCGGTCGCATGAGGGGTGCGGCCAATGAGTCGCTCGAGACGGCGGGCGACCCTGCCTCGTTGGCTGTGGCCACCCAAGCCAAAATGGCTCTGATGACCACCAATACGGGGCTGACGTTCGAGGACCGCACCTGGCAGGGACTGGACCCGGCTCTGGGGCAGACGGAGCCAGCCGAGCTGCAGCCAGGCCTCAGTGGCATTCCGATTAAGTACTCGCATCAATAAAGACCACTCCAAATGGATCATTAGCCAGAAACAGATCGTGTGCATGTAATTGTAGGTATTTTTCGGTTTACTGATCTTTTTGCATGAAATTTTCTTGGATTAAACTACTCGTACATGTCCAACCACAGGGGAGCGGGACGGGAACGCCTAGCGCGATCACTTAGACCCTCAACCAGTACATGGAGGAGCGAATTCTGTTGTAGTCGGGCAGGTTCTCGACGGGTCCCACAGCGGCGACGGCAGGGCATCTGTCGTAGATATACTTCATGGCCACATCGCGCACATTCGACACACTGACATTGTTGATGCGCTCCTCCAGCTCGTGCAATGGGATGCGGCGGTTGTAGCACAGAATCTGGCGGCCAATGTCCTCGCAGATGGGGGTGGTTCCGTCCAGCTGCAGCAGCATGTTGGTCTTCAGCAAGTTCTTGGCGCGCTCCACCTCGGCCTCGGTGACCATCGTGCAGAGACGCATCCACTCCGTCTGAATGTTGAAGATCATGTCCTGCCAATGCGAATCTCATTGTTATATCCGAGTGGTTTTTAGGGAGGGATGAATATCTATGGCTTACCTCACACTGCAGAGGATCGCACACGAAGTAAATGCCCCAAAGACCGGTGTCCTTGTAGCAGGTGTTGAACGACTGGAAGCTGTGGCACAGGTCTGTGGGTGGAGCGTCAGACTGGGTGAACTCGTATGTGAGATTGCTACTGATTTATATACTCACTGTCCTCGGCGCTGGCACGGGCCAGGTTGGAGGCATTGTTGGCTCCACCGCCCTGAGAGCGATCCCAGGCACCCACCAAGGTGTTGGCCACCATCAATGGGATGTTGTCCTGATCGGTCCAGCCGCAACCCTCAACGGCGACAGCCACATGGGCTAGGGGAAGGGAATCGTCGCGCACACGGACCTCAGAGCCGGTGAAACGGCAGGGAGTGATATCTGGTGGCAGCGTGCTAGCCTCCAGGCGGCCCAGGCTCGAGCCGGCCAATTGGACCAAATCCTCATGCTTCACACCGCCGGCGGCGGCCAGGACAATGCGAGATGCATTGTAGTGGGTCTGGATGTAGTCGGTCAAGTCAGATTTGCCAATGGACCTGCGCAAAAACAAGCAATGAGCCGGGGATGCCCAGGGGATTGTCATATTTTTCTAATACGCACTGAATGTTCTTGGTGGGGCCAAGGATGGTCTGACCCAACGGGGTGCCCTGGTAGGCGGTGGCATGCAAGTGATCGAACACCACCTCCTGGAGGTTGCTCTCAATCTCTTGCATCTCGCGCAGGATGACCGAACGCTCGCGGGCAATCTTCTCCTCTTCCAGCTTGGAGTTTTGGATAATGTCGGCCAGAATTTCAACGGCCTTCGGTACGTCCTTGGACAAGCACTTGGCGTAGAAGACGGTCTGCTCGCGAGACGTGTAGGCATTCAGATGGGCGCCCAGGTTCTCAACCTCCAGCTCCAGGTCGGTCTGGGAGCGCTTGGCGGTGCCCTAAAAAGACGTAATGTTTTATAAACTATACGGAATTCGGAATTATCGACCACTCACCTTGAAGGCCATGTGCTCCAGGAAGTGGGCCACGCCGTTGTTCCTCTCGTTCTCGGAACGGGAACCAGCATCGATCCAGAGACCGACGGTGGCGGTGGCTGCGCCAGAATCCTCGCTAGCGACGCGCAGACCATTGTCCAGCTTGGTCACCTGGGTGGCGGGTATGTTCAGCAGAGTCTTCTGCAGGGTGGCAGTCGACTTAGAGCGCTGTGGGATCGGATAAGCGACGCAAAAGATTAGTTAAGTAAATCATAACCATAACCTCAAAATCCATTCAACATTTTCCACAGAAATGTTACGAATTTTCTGCCCATTAAACTGGTGGGCTGCTGACTGGCTGAACATCGGTAGTCGCGACCGGGAGGAAGAGAGCGCGCATTGCTCGGAAAAAGTGCAGTTTATGCCCGTTCAAATTACGTAATTTGTATCCTGGTCAGCGTAATCAAACGGGTGAGACTTACCTTGATGAGGTCAACGCCTCGCAAGAATGAGCGCATATTCTGCGTTACTCCAAGAACACGCAACGCCATCGTTTGTTTCTATCGTTTAATTCTTATTAACTTAAAATTACTTAAACGTTTGCCTTCGGCGCTGATGAAAATTCACGCACACACACACGACTTCACACTCATTCACAGGGTGGGATAAGTTGGCTGCGCCCGAACAGCTGTCAGGGCTGGATGAAACCAATGCGCGGTTTTCAACACTATTTAATAAAATCGAATTTTCTTTTTGTTTTAGCGTTTGTTGCTCGGAAACATATAGTTAAATTTAGATTGTAAACGGAAAAATAGTACTTTCGATTCAATTTGGGCCATAGCCCACTTAGTTCACAATGGCGGGAAACTTTTGGCAGAGCTCCCACTCGCAGCAGTGGATACTGGACAAGCAGGATTTGCTGAGGGAGCGACAGCACGATTTGCTGTCTCTGAACGAGGACGAGTACCAGAAAGTGTTCATATTCTTCGCCAACGTAATCCAGGTGTTGGGCGAGCAGCTGAAGCTGCGCCAGCAGGTGATAGCCACTGCCACCGTGTACTTCAAGCGGTTCTATGCCAGGAATTCGCTGAAGAACATTGATCCGCTGCTCTTGGCACCCACCTGCATACTGCTGGCCTCCAAAGTGGAGGAGTTCGGCGTCATATCCAACTCCCGGCTGATATCCATCTGCCAGTCGGCCATCAAGACCAAGTTCAGCTATGCCTACACGCAGGAGTTCCCCTACCGCACGAACCACATACTGGAGTGTGAGTTCTACCTGCTGGAGAATCTCGACTGCTGTCTGATAGTGTACCAGCCCTACCGACCACTGCTCCAGCTCGTGCAGGACATGGGCCAGGAGGACCAGTTGCTCACGCTCAGCTGGCGCATCGTCAACGACTCCCTGCGCACCGACGTCTGTCTACTCTACCCGCCCTATCAGGTATCATGCCACGTTCCTCTCCCCGTTGCTGCAAATGATCCCAGGCCCAGTCTCAACCGATCTCTTTTTTAGATTGCCATTGCCTGCCTGCAGATCGCTTGCGTTATACTCCAGAAGGACTCCACCAAGCAGTGGTTCGCAGAGCTGAACGTGGACCTCGACAAGGTGCAGGAGATCGTTCGGGCCATTGTCAATCTCTACGAGATGTGGAAGGACTGGAAGGAGAAGGATGAAATACAAATGTTGCTCTCCAAAATACCGAAACCCAAACCGCCGCCACAGCGCTGATCTACACGACATTCTTCTAGATTTACACGAGACGAGTATTGCTTAAATAGGTTTCTTTTTTCAAATTTTATACCTATACATACATATATTTATACTATAGCGATTAAAAGGAGATTTTAAGCTAAAATATGGCCGGTCCATATGGGGCCCTCAGAGATACTTGGACTGTCCCCGGGAGAACTTGCTGTTCAGTATCTTGGCCTTGTCCACAATCTGTTTGGTTTGATTGGAGTCAATCTTGTTGAGCTTCAGGTCCACGTCGCGACTAAAGGGACGACGCTCGGCCTTCAAGCCGGCGGCAGCCAGTTCTTTCTCCTGCGGAAAACCCACAATATTGTTATCAAATATTAAGAGTTATTCCATTTGTGGCTTACCCTCTCCTTTTGCTCCTTGCGAAGCTTCTTTTGGTGCAGCGCCACCAGGGACTCGTCTCGCTTGTGTTTCTTCTTGTGCTTCTTGGCCATGCTTTCCTGTTCGTCATCCCGCTGCTGCACATACTTGGCCTGGGCGATCTGCTCCAGCTCCTTGGAGCTGCAAGGCTTGGGCCCAGCGACGGCCGCTGCTGCCGCACTCTGCGGCGTCTTTGTCCAGTCAGACCGGTCGCTGAAATCGGGCCGTTCTTTGCCCTGGTAGAAGGTACGCTTCAGGTTGTTGAGAGCTGCCAGGCCACCCTTGAGGCCAACTTCGGGCAGCTCCAGCATCCACTCCTCGCGCCCGTCCTTGTCATTTGTGGAGGGGCCCAGACCGCCGCCCTGCAGGACGGACAGTTTCAGGGCCAGCGCCCGCTCCTCGAGCTCCACTTGGGTGGCATTCGGCATGGGGCCAAAAGTTCCACTCATGTCATCATCGTCATCCGCATTCTCTTCTGGTGAAGGGTCAGCCGCAGATGGTGAGGCTGCCTTGGGAAAGTCGCTGGGCAGGATGGGACCTATCATCTGGGGCGGTTCAGTCTTCACCTCCTGCCGCAGATGCGGCGGCAGAGGGGCACCGAAGGCACCCTCTTGATCTTCAGCAGGCGGTAGACTTACAGAGACTGTTGGCTTTGGCGCAGCCTGCGGCTGCTCTTCCCGCCTGCTGCGCTTCTTCTCCTTGTGCCGGCGCTTCTCCTTTTTGTGCTTCTTTGACTTTTTCTTCTTGGACTTGGACTTGTCCACATCCTTGCTGGACTTCTTGTGCTTCCGCTTGCGCTGCAGCTCCTCGCTGGAACTGCTGCTGTCGCTGCTGCAGTCATCGCTGGACATGTCTGCTGGTCGCTGCTGGCGAGAGTAATAATGGGAAAATCAAAATTAAGAAACGATAAGGAGGCACCCTTAAAAAAACTCGTGGGTTCTTTCGCTTTTGAGCTACTGTCTCTGTATTGAATGTAACAACTTTTGTGCTTAAAATTATACAACATAAGGAAGCGGGAGACGAAGCAACTTAGTCAGTAAATGGCAGCCTAGGGAGCATTTTGAATGCCGAAAAGGAGTCGAAGATTTGGATTGGATTTTGGATGGGACGGACCTAAACCGCAAACGTCTTCTGGGCCTTGCGGTAGCTGTAGATGAGCGACTTTAAGACTCCCGCACTGGCGATGTTCTTCAACGACTGCGTCACACTGCTGCGCCACACGATGTCGTTGACGGAGGCCTGCAGGACCTTCGGCAGCAGCGGGGACATAGACAGATGCTCCACCACTTCGGGGAAGTCTCCGCGACTGGCGGCATTGCTCTGGAGACGTCGCCTCAGCTCCTTGGGCATGCGGCGCAAATGCTGCGACGTGGCCAGGCGCGACTTGTCCTGCTCAAAGAGAATGGCCGGCTTGCGGGAGCCCGGCTCCTGCCCGTGCATGTTGACGGCCACGTACTTGTCCAGCAGACTCATGGACGGCTGGTAGAGGGCGAAGAACTCGGTTATCTGCGGCGTCACTATGTTGTGGACCTTTTGCTTGTTCTCGCCGAAGATCATGCGGAAGTCGCCCTTGTAGCTGATACCGGCAATGGCCAGGAACAGCTCGTAGGCGGTGAACTTCTCGGGCAGCAGCAGCAGGGCCACTAGGAGGGCCGACAACAGGTTCTTGTCGAGGGCGGACTTCAGCAGTGGATTGTCTGTGGGATTAACGAGATCCGTGACCGGCTTCTGAAGCCGCCCGGCCAGATACAGGTGCCGCCAGTGCTTCAGATCCTCGATCAGGTTGTCCTCCGACACCACTCCGTACTTGATGGTCAGCCCCACGTCCTGCAGTGGCACCAGCGTGTTGAAGTATACACCGGCACCCAACCGCTCCTGGTACTGTGCCACAAACCGCGGACCCAGGTGCCTCAACGCCGAATAGTGGCTGGGATGGCGGTGCATGTTCTCCGCGTGGAAGCCGAGCGAGTCGCGCACACAAAACACCAGATCGATGACGCTATTCGGGGCCGGCCTTGCGCCGATCTCGTTGTAGCCCACCTGCTGCTTGACGCCCGATCCGTAGGCAAACATATAGCTTACGCTGCCCAGGGGGAAGCGCGTCACCGTGCGCCTGTACAGGTCCATCATGGTGGAATGGAGTGGAGGATAGGATGCGCAGCTGGTTAGAGCGGGACTAGTAAATGCTTTATAATTACGTTTTGGGTTCTTGATTGTGCAGGAGGATGTTGATTTTATTCCCGAATCGCTGACCACCGGCACTGGAACCGTTTCTTCTTCGTCCTCCCCGCGACAGCTGTTGTGCAGGGCTGCGAAGCGTCTCAGATAGCGCCAGGGCTGCAACAACAGAAGGCAGGCACATTTTAGTCGAATGTTTATATTCTGTTTATTTAACGTCTAAATTGTTCACTATAAATTTCCAAACTGAACCGATTTCACTCTCGCCCTCGTACTGGTCTATTGTGCTGTGCGAGTAGTGCTTAATGCTTTTTCTTAAATTTTGCCGCCGGTAGTGTTGACAAACTCTAAATTATATATGTTTTTGTTTCTTTTGGATGAAATAAGAAGAAGAAAAACGCACATTTTTTTGTAGGAACAGAACAGAACATTTACAACAATAGGGGAGACATGCAGCGTTCATTGAAAAGAAAACAGGAGGATCAGGCGGGGGATGATCAGCCTGAGCAGCCGCCGAAAATAGAATCAGTGCCAGCACCAGACAGTGGCATTGGCGATATTAAAGAGTTCACAAAGGTGCGAGCGGGCGCTCCCTCCTGTTTCCACATTGTAATGGGTGTTTTTCTGTTTTTCTTTTAGCAAGCCTTTAAGAATGTGGTGGCCGCCACACGTGCCTGCAACTCCTTTCCCCAGGGAACCGCCCGCTCCCTATATCTCGGCTATCCGGGGTATTCGCGTGTCATAGACGATCTGTCCCAGCGGCTAATGGGTCTCATAGGAAACGTGATGCAGGCCGAAGAGATCAAGGGCGACATTAAAAAGTAAGCACCGGCGGCCCTTACAAGTCCTGCATAAGTCCTCTTTTTTTCTCATTTTATACAGACGCCACACGGAGGAACAGTTCGAAATGGTCCAGGAGTGCAACGATATAATCTTCGAGCGTATTACGACGAATCTGGACATCAAAGCTGGTCAGCGGAGGAAACCACACATGGTGCTGGAGACGCAGGTGGATGTTATGAGCCCCTCCACGCCAGCGGCGACGGCACCAGCAGAGTTCGCCAAGTCGGAAACCCCAAAGGCGGGAAGCTGGAACAGGTGGCCGCCCACGCCGCAGCGTAACGTGCTCTCCGCTCGCCTGTTCGCAGCCAAGAACATAATGCGGCCCCAGATGAATTTCAAGACGCCAGTGGACAACAGTGATCAAAATCCGTTTGTGCCACGCCTCAAGGAGAAGCCAAACTCCTTGAAGCCACTAGCACTGCTGCCAGAGTACGACGAGGCGGGAAATGTGCATGCCTATCTGCATCCGTACGAGTTTGAGCTGATGAAGCTGGAGCCGTCGGCGGAGCAGCTCCAGAGGCAAACGCCTCTGCTGCCTGCTCCGCCCGCGGCTACCGAGCTGATGCTCGTCGACAGTGTGGAAAAGTTGAACCAGGCCCTCGAAGAGCTGCGACGGGCGCCCCACATAGCCATCGATGTGGAGCACCACTCGTATCGCACATTCATGGGCATCACCTGCTTGGTGCAGATGTCCACCCGCACCAAGGACTACATATTCGACAGTCTCGCGCTGCGCGAGGAGATGCACGTCCTGAACCTGGTACTAACGGATCCAAAGAAGGTGAAGATCCTCCACGGCGCTGACCAGGACATCGAGTGGCTGCAGCGCGATCTTTCGCTGTACGTCGTCAACATGTTCGACACCCATCGGGCGGCTAAGGCCCTAAATATGGCTCGCCTGTCGCTGGCCTTTCTCCTCAAACACTACGTGGACCTGGACGTGGACAAGAGCCTCCAGCTGGCCGACTGGCGCATGCGGCCGCTGCCCCAGCAGCTTATCGACTACGCTCGCCAGGACACGCATTATTTGATTTACGTGTACGAGCGTATGACCAACGACATACTGCAGGCCGAGCAAGGACAGTCGCAGGCCCTGCGAACCGTCTACCAACTGAGCATGGAGGTGTGCAAGAAGCGCTATACGAAACCCCACATCGGACCCGAATCGCATCTCGATCTGGTGCGAAAAACGAAGCGGTCCTTCGACAATCGACAGTTGCACGCCTTGCGTGGCCTTTTCCAGTGGCGGGATGCGACTGCGCGCCAAGAGGACGAAAGCTACGGCTATGTGCTGCCCAATCACATGATGCTCCAGATTGCCGAGAGCCTGCCCCGGGAGATGCAGGGGATTCTCGCCTGCTGCAATCCCATACCGCCGCTGGTACGCCAGCAGCTGCACGCGCTCCACCAGATCGTGCTGAAGGCGCGCGAACAGCCGCTGGTTAAAGTGAGTTACGCCGAGAACTCGGCCCTCCATCTTATCTCCGTTCCTGGCTGCTCCACTGCCCTGTATCCATTCACGATTGATTGTACTTAATGTTGAAATCAAAAACTTACGCACCATTTCAGCGCATCTCATCATTTAAGCCATTCTATATAGGAAGCAGTTATATAGTAGTGGGAAATGGATATTGTATCTCTTCTGCTTTTGCTCTTTCAGCCCATTCTGGAAGCCCGCAGCCAACCGCAGGTCCTGCCACCCACCAGCAAGGACTACGGCAGCAAACTCTACTGTCCGCACGACTTCACGCACTTGGAGGAGACGCGCGATGACCTGCCCACGCTGCTCAGCCGCAACGCGGCGGGAAAGCTGCAACTGCCAGCGGTGGAGGAGCAACCCAGAGACGATGTCCCCCTGGCGGTGCCGGCCATGACTCTGTTCGCGAAGCCAACCGCTTCCACTCCGGACGAAGAGATGCGTCTGGTGCACTTGCGCAAGGAGAGCCAGGTGCTGCGCATGCCCTATAAACGCTACCTGGCAATCCTTCCGCTCATGGAGCAGGTGAAGGCCGACCAGCAGGCACGGGACAGCAAAGAACTGCTCAAGCGTCGTCTCTGCCCGCCAGTGACCCCGACAGAGGACATCAAATTGGAGTCCTCACCAGGTAAGGTCGAGGCGGCAGATGATGCCGTCTACAGCCTGCCGCTAAAGGAACAGCTGAAGCGTAAGCACAAACCCGACTCTGACCAGCATCCCAGCACCAGCAAGCGATTGAAGGCGGAGAACATCAAACCCAAGCCGGAGACTGTTCCAGTGCGAGGAGCAGTGAAGAACGAGTCAATAACCTGCATCAGTGACGAGGACGACGATGTCGTAGAAGTTCCTATACAGAAAAAGCCCATAGCACAGGCAGCGGAAGCACCGAGCAAGCGGCAGCAGAAGCGTCAACAGTTCCAGCGCTTCAGGGGGGGCAAGGCTCGCGGCAATCATCCCCAGAGCTCCAGTCAACCGGTGGTCCAGCAGCCCAAGCCACAGGGCAACAACTTTGACTACAAGAACGTGGACTTCCGGCAGTTCCAGGGCGGAGCACAACGAGCCCGTGGCACAGAGATCAAGCAGACAATACGCGGAAAGGTGAGAGAGAGGCTCCCATATTTCCAGTTCCTCGCTAATTTATTCCCAAATTCTTTCAGAATCGTCCCAAAAATCGGAATAACAAGCAGTTTAACAAGCTTTTTACATTTAGTAATGTAAAGAAAGATGGCAAGAAATAGACTGTGCTAAAAACACCATAAAATACATGTATCAAACATCAGACGGCATTCAAAGCCGGAGAATCACAAAATGAATTAAATTAGACAAAAGATTTATTTGATGTATATTTTTCCATTTAGTTCCAAAAAGAAACTGTTCGTTTTTAAATATTTGCAAATTTTCTAAATTATTTCTTATTAAATAACAACCATAACTATGCATACAACTAGAGCTATTGATTATGTTCGGTATTCTAAGGTGCGGTTAAAGTATGGATTGGCTAAACGGAAGGTTTCGTTTGTTTACACGAGCTGCCCAGAAGTTTCGTCTATCTACTCTATCTATTTGTTTATTTATCCTACTTTTAAATGGGGGAAAATAAAACATTCAATTAGAAACGTTGATATGCAATGATTGCACCATCAAGTGGCCCATGCCGAAGCCTGTTACGTGCGGATCCCAGGCCTCGATTGGATTCATGTCCACAATCCTTCCAGAGCTGTGGAGCTTAAAGCTTGACTGAATCTATTCCGTACCCTCGCAAAGTAGCATGTGGTCTACTAGCAACCACCGTAGCCTAGTCTCCATTTTGGGTTAGAGCGTTTTGAACATTTTGTCACCCTCCAGGTCCATGCAGTATTCCACAACGGCATAGACCACAAGCAACCGGCGTTCCACGCCGCGTTTATGCTTATCCGTGATGAGGGGATACAGGGCATCCTGCTTGGACAAACGATCGACTATTTCTGTCAGCACGCCACCGGAGAATACCTGAAGGCGGTCCCATGTGGATTTGCGCAGACTAAGAGGAGGGGGAAGGAAAAACATGAATTTAAATCAATATTTTAAGATGAAACTTACAGGCAGCACTGGTAGAGCGGAGCCAGGATGTCCAGGTGATCCTTGTTGGGATTCCCGAAGGCCTTGCCATTGTCGATGAGCACCACACGCTCCTCCCGCGTCTCGTAGTGATGGCGGTCTCCGTTCTGAATGAGATAGTCAAAGATGGCCACATCGATCAGGTCCAGCAGGCGAATGGTTTCCATTTTGTTCTTGAGCGATCTGGGCACAAGAATTTCGTACATTTAAAGGTTTCATTGGAGGGAAAAGGCAGCCCAGGAAACATACTTGCAGTACGTCATGTCATCCTCCCAGGGCGCTCGTCTGTCTTCCTTGTAGGTGCGCTGCCAGGGAGAGCGTCGTTTCGCCAGAGTGCCGGGCACAATGTAGATGAATACGCCCTCGATATTGTGCTTCTCGTCCCCGCAGACGGTCTCCTCCTCGTTGCAGTAGTGGCACTTGCCGTACAGGCAATAGGTCTCATTACCATCATCGTCCACCTCGATGTTGATGGTATTCTGCAGCTCCTGGTCGCCCATGGCATAGATTTCAGTCTTCAAATTGACCACGCGCCCCACCACGATCGGCGTCCAACGCAGATCGAGCACAGCTCCCAGATAGAAGGCGTACACCTCGGCCGTGTGCCGGTCCTTGCCGCTGTAGACGGCACCCTCGATGATCTCGTCACGGGGATACCATTGCGGCTTGAAGATGACCTTCTGCTGGTTGGAGAGCCGCGTGAGGAGCTTCAGCTGAGTGCCGCGCGCCAGATTGCTCACTCGAGTGATGGGCTCCTTGCGCAAGGTCTCCAGCAGGTGGCCCATCGAGGAGTCATACAGCGGGTAGATCTCGTTCTCGTGTGGCCACTGCAAAAATGAGAGAGTTCGGTTGGCTCGAATGCCCGATCTATCGCCTAAACACCCATGACTCACCCAATTGGCAATGTCCCAGAGCACGCTGGCATTCTCGTAGGGGGCCATCTTGTAGTTTTTGAGGAGTTTGTTGCGGAACATAAAGAAGCGCGGATTGCGGTTGAGGTAGGCCGGATGGAGGTGGCGCATCTTGTGCCGGATCATGTTCTCCAGTGCCCGGACGCTGGCCAGGTGGCCCTCCTCGATGTTCAGGTAGTACATGAAGTAGAAGTTCGCACCCAGCACCAGACCCAGCAGGCTGGCAATAATGCCCACTATGATGACGGTGCGTTTGTTCATCCTTCTGCAGCTTTCTGTGCAACCAGCTGCTGCTGCTGCTGCTGTGGTATGGTCTGGGCAGTCGTCGCTGGTACTTTATTTTTAATATCACGTATACGTAACGCTGCGGCACTAGCAAATTGCTCAATTTTAGCAAATATCTTATGCTGCTGCTGCTGCTGTTGCATGCTGCTGTTGTTCTTCTGCGGCCGCTTTTGGCTTTTTGGCAGACATCGGCAACAACTGTTCGCATCAGTCCATTGTTGTTCCCATCCGCACTAATTGCGGCCATGCGCAGGTTTCTTCTTGTTTTTGGTCGAGAATCTAGATAAATTTCATTGGCATTTTAGTCACTGCAGTGGGGCGAGTCCTTTTCCGGGATGGGTCGGACCTGGCCGGATCGGGGCACAACTCTACTACTTACTGAGTACTGGGTGCGTGCGTGTCCGTGTCAGTTCACACTCCGTTGCCAACAAGTCAATCAGAGGCCGCGTTGCCGCGCAATGTAGCGCCTCTTGTTTAGAGACGTGTACGCGCCTGACCCTTTTCCGACTCTTGGCAGCCGCAGCACCAGCCAGCCACTCAATAAATCTTCTGCGCGTACACACTTCTGTAAATTAAATTAATTGGACGCCACGCCGCTCCGATCGTTGGCCACCGTCGTCGTCAGCACGCATTCGGCACCCAGGAGCTTCTGTGGCGGCCGCTGACAAGAACAAAGCATTTTACTGCCGATCCGATGAGTTTTGCGGCCGTTGCTCGTTTAATTGTGTAGTCCGGTCCGAAGTATTGTTTGGTTTGGCCAATTGCGGTTTAAAAATAGTTTTGTTTATGTGAGCGAAAATGGGAAAAACGTGCGTCCGCTGCCGGTGCAGGTGTAACAACAAAACAAAAACAAAAAACAGCTGACTCGCACAGGGGTGGCAGCACTGCAACACAGTGCCGCCTCCGCACTCGCATCCGCCTATCTGGCAACGCTGCGAGACCAGCATTGTTCCGTTACAAAAATGTAACCGAGTAAATTTGCAGCGCATACAATTTTTGCCACCGTAAAAGAGTCTGCCAGGTGTGGAAAAGTTAATCAAACGCCTCATGAAATAACAAAACAATTCCCGGTCTAAAGGTCAGACACTGAATTCACTTAGGAGTACGCAAGGTAAGTGTTCCGCTGCTGTGGAGGGCGGCAAACATTCGCTAAGTGCCCTGCCAGACGCCCATACACCCATGCACCCACACACCCCCAAAGGCGCACACGCAAGGAACACTGATGGGAAAAAGTACTGGATTAGCAATCTTTCGGGTACACTGAGAGAAATAACCAATAAGCTAACATTCTAATCCTGTTTTTCAATTTACAGCAGCAGACGGACACTTTTGTTTAAATTCAACATAATTCCGGAAATTAGTCATTAATATTCTGAATCATTTAGAAGCTTTTGTTTTTCTCGAGTGTAGAAGTACGTGGGTCTCGCATCGATACACTCGTATTCCTTCAATGAGGTTAGGTTAGGGTTCGCCGGGCTTTGGGAGCTCTCAGTGGAGCAGAGCGCATAACCGTCGTTGGCTCAACGGAGGGTGGTGGAGCTCGTGTGCTCTGCCCGGCCACATATGGCACAAAATAAACCGACAAATGATAACGGCACTCGAGCAAACAACAATAACGGATGAAAAGCACGAAAATCGAGTAAATGAAAGAAATAACGGCGACAGAATAAGTATAACAAGTAACAAAAGGCACGAACATGCTTTACACACCCATCCCCCATCCCCCATCCTCACCACCACCCGCAGACGCAGACGCACAGTTCCACGCACTGTGCTCCAGCACATCCCTGGCATCCGTCGCATTCAAATGCCGAGGGCATCCGTTCGCACAGTCGCCGGCTGGGGAATTGGAGTCCCGAATGTACATAACACCCTCGGTCGGTGGCGACGCATTACGGTTACAGTTAGCCTAACCCACATTCATGCCCGTACGCAAATGCCAGCAAAATGTTCAGTTTGTGTTGTTCTCACCAGTTTTTGGTTTTACCCTGCCAGAGGGTATCATAATAGTTACAAGAGTCTTGGGGCTCAGGGGAGCTGCCTAAGAAGTACTTATAAGAACATAGTACATATGTAATACATATATTATGTATAGCCGCTATCTGTATATTTGATTCTATCCCACTCCCAAATACAAATAATAAAAACTCAGTTTAAAAGTTGCTTCGTTTTTCAAGGGTATTTCCATATGCGGTCTTTCAGGCTTTCATTTCGTATTTGTTTGTTTTGTGGGTAGTGTGGTTTGCTTACAACATATTAAAGTAAGCCAATTTCCATTTGCGAGCCCTGTTTGTGTTGGCCATGTTAATCATAAATGAACTTGCTGCATGCAGAGTTGCACATGTGGCAACCACAATTGTCCATCACCTGCAGCTTGAGGCTGCCTCTGGTCTAATTTGCATGCAAATCTTGACCCGATTTGCCAGACACAGCAAAATTACATTTTAAATCTTCACAATAAGTATTGTATAGAATTTACTGCCTGGAAAGTTTATCAAATCAAATACCCATGGCGAAGGATTTTAATAGAATTTTTGGAGAATCTCCGTAGGCTGCCCCTTTGAAAACGAACCAAACAATTCAATTAGGGCTCAAATTGGGAAAAAGGTAACGAACGATTATACAATGTTAAGTATTTGGGTCAGATGTCCCTAACAACCACCCCAAAAACACCAAGGACAGTAGAAGTCCAAAGTGGACGCTAAGAAAGAGAAAATTAATTTTCCAGGAAAGGAAAAACACTCATGCATTTTCCTGGAATTCAGGACTATTCATTTAAGATGATTGTAGTGAACAAATGATAAAAATCCACTAACACGAGTATGTGTGTTGTTAGAACAGTCAACAACTTATTTGGAAAAAGGTACTATTTATTATCTGATATATTAGGAGAAGAGAGGTACAAATTTATATTAGAGCCATGCATGAATCCACAGTATTCATAAAAACAGACCTTTACTCATGTCTCTTAAATGCTTTCGAGCATTACGAATCCTACCTTCACTCAGATTCAAATCACCCCGAATCACTAAAAATTGATTCCACGCACTTCGGATTAAAATCAGCAAGTTTCGTTCGCATGATTCTGAACTTCA